CCGAAAACATCAGCGGCCGGATCATGCATTACATTGACCTAAGGATGAGAATCGGTCCTCACGTGGAGACACGCACGTTCCTTCTGACGTGCTTAGGGAAGGCCCGGAACTTCATTGGTCTTGACTGGCTGACGGAACACAACCCGGAGGTGGATTGGCAAGAGCAGACCATGAGATTCAGTCGATGCCCAGAGCGTTGTCACATGAGGGGTCACGAGGAGCATCAAGCAATGATTGACATGGATGCAATCGACCTGGAGACCGGTGCACCAGATCTGGAGGAAGGAGAATCGATCCTGTTGATCGACTTCGGGAAAGAAGTGGATCTACGGCTGAAGGAAACGCCGGCGCAGAAATTCGCAGAAGAAGCAGAAAAGGAGAAAGAGAGAATGACCGAGGGAAGGATCCCGGATCAATATCGGGAATTTGTCAAGGTATTCGCCAAGGAATCGTTCGACTCGCTGCCAGACCAACGGGCATGGGATCATGCAATCGAGCTCAAACCTGGTTCCAAAGCAGTGGACTGCAAGGTGTATCCTGTGACAATCAACCCAAAAACAAAGTCGAAAAGAGAAGTGAATTCGAAGACTGGAGAATACAACCAAGTAGCTACAGTATTTATACCCAAATCCAGTCTGAGTCATATCTACAACTAATGAGTCATAGGGCTATGTACCACATGGAACGCTGGTCATGGGTTGTAGTAGAACCTTCCGGAGCATATGTCGCGCAGCCTTGAATCGATAGAGATAACCCCTGGAACCCCTAGCCCGGACCGTCTGATGCCGTGATCCGTGATAAGATAAGTCGTGCCAAGATAAGATAGGATCGTCGATGATAAGATGAAAAAGAGTCGAATTATGACATTACCCCCTCTCTAGGGTCGATGTCCTCATCGACTAGGCCAATGGGCGTGAAGACGTTTTCGTACGGATCGAAGAGTTGTTGCTGGGGGTATGGAAGGCGCTCGTCTTTGGGTTTGTAGCGATGGATGAGGTAATCCCAATGTCCGGCTTCGAGAGTTGGCAGCAGGCGAATGCGTGTGTCTGGGTTGGATTGTTTCCTCTGCCAATCTCTCAGGACCTTCTTCGCGTGAGTAAGGTGACGTGATGGTTCCCAGGTGTTCTCGCTATGCGGCCATCCCTTCCATTTGACCAAGTACTGTTTTCCTCGGCCGACGTTTCGCTCTTTCACGATCTCTTCGACTTCCCACTCCTCTGCTCCTCCGACCATCTTGGCTACAGGCCTCTTCTCTCGGCGATGGGGGGGTGGTTCGTGATAGGGTGTCAACAGTGACTCGTTGAACACCGGATGTCTTCGGTCCGTGTCCGGTAAATCCAGCTTACATGCGGCCGCTCCAACCTTCTCCAATATCTCGTATGGCCCTAGTCTCTTGTCGCTCATCTTCTTTGATGGTCGATCCGTCTCGATATTTTCCCCTTCTATGTACACCTTCATCCCAACCTTCAACTCCGGAACTTCTTTTCTTTGTTTATCGTAGTATTTTTTCATTTTTTCTTTTGCTTTTTCTAGTGCTGCTTTTGCTTCGTCTTGTATTTCTTTCATTCTTTTTACAAATTCCTCCGCTGACTCGTTCCTCGATTCCATCCGCTGCTCCACTCCCTTCCATGGGTGATATCCGTGATTCGCATAGAATGGCGATATTTTGGTAGATGTGTTCATTTTATCGTTATATGCAAACTCTGCCATCCCTAGCCACTCCGACCAGTCCGTTTGATGGTAGTTGACGTAGATGCGGAGATAGTGTTCGATCTCCTGATTCATGCGTTCTGTCTGTCCATCCGTGATCGGGTGATATGCGGTCCCCGGATTCATTTCCACGCCCAACATCCGATTCGTCTCCCTCATGAAGCCCTTGATGTAACGCGAATCCCTGTCGGTGATGATCTTGCGAGGGATCCCGTGGTAGCGGAAGACTCGGTCCCTGGTTAGTCGTGCCACTCCTTCGCTGCTGATGTCAGTACTAATTGGTTCGACATGGATCATTTTGGTGAAGGTGTCACACCACACATGAATTGCGTCATACCCGTTACTGACTGGCAAGGGTCCGATTTGATCCATGGAGATGATTTCCCACGGCGCATTTGGAACTGCATGCGGGTGCAAACTCCCTGTCCTTGCTCTCCTGGTCTTGGTCCGTTGGCACGCCTCGCACGTCTGGATGTATTTCCGAATTTGGTTTCCCATCCTGGGCCACCAGTAGTTTCTTTCCACCATCTCCTGTGTTCGGTTGATCCCGGCGTGTCCGACCAAAGGGGTGTCGTGGTGTAGTCCGATGATTTTGTCCCGCAACTCCTCGTCCCTTGGTACGTAGAGCTTCCCATGGTACGTGATAAGCCCCTCTTCCTTCTTCCATCCGACGAGTGACTTCTCTACGGCCGCCTTGACGCTTCCATCAATTGATCGAATGGCCTTGATTTCATCGATTAGCTGCTGATCCTGTCCCTCGAATGTGACTTCTTGTGATCGGAAGAACTCGGGCTTCAGTAGCGTGACGTCCTTGTTGTCGTTCTTGCCCTGATCGTGATCTGCTCGTCGGGACAGGAGGTCCGCCTTGCGGTTGAGTGCGCCGGGTCGGTGTCGTAAGGTGAAATCGAACTCCGCCAACTCCGTGATCCATCGTGCTTGCCGTCGATTGAGCTTCTGCGGCTTCCGAAAGTACTCGAGATTCTGATGATCGGTGAAGATCTCGAACGTTTCCGTGGCTCCCAGGAGTAACTGCCTCCATTCGTCCAATGATAGCATGATTGCAAGCATTTCCTTGTCGTAGATCTCGTAATTTCGCTCGGTTTCGGTCAGTGCGTGCGAAATAAATGCGATTGGGCGCCAAATGCCGTCTTGGTTTTGGCTCAAAACTGATCCTGTTGCCCCTTCCGAAGCATCGGCTTCCAGACGATATTGGCCAGTGTCATTTGGCAGTGCTAGGACTGCATCCTCCGCGATTCTCTTCTTCAATCCATCAAATGCCGCATGCTCATCTGCACCCCATGACCATCCTGCCTTCCCTGTCAGCCGTGTCAATGGCTTGGCAACCTCCACGTATCCCCGGACAAAGCGCCGATAGAAGTTTGTGAACCCTAGAAACGCTTGGACTTGTTTGACGCTCTTTGGTTCCGGCCATTCCATCACGCCCTTGATCTTGACTGGGTCCATCCGCATCGAATTGTGTCCAATAATTACACCCAAATATTCGATTTCCGTGCGTTCGAACTCGCACTTTTCGGGCTTCAGGTATAGCTTGTGCTTCTGGAGTAATTCGAGCACTCGTTTCGTGATCCGCCGATGTTCGTCCAAGTTCTCTGTAAAGATCAGTATATCGTCCAGATAGACTACCACGTGTCCCTCGTTGATCAGTTCTCGGAGTATGTCGTTCATCATGTTTTGGAAGGTGGCCGGGGAGTTCGTGAGACCAAAGAACATGACCAAGGGCTCGTACAGTCCACGGTTTGTGCGGAATGCAGCCTTCCACTCGTCACCCTCTTTGATCCGTACATTATTGTATCCCCATCGGATGTCGAGCTTGGTGAAGAACTTGGCGCCGCATAGATTATGGACCAGTTCGGAGATCAGCGGCAGCGGGTACCGATTTCGGATTGTCATCTCGTTCAGCTTCCGATAATCCTGGACGGGACGTAGTGAACCATCTTTCTTTTTGACGAAGAAGAATGCTGAGGCCATGGGTGATTTTGATGGTCTGATTCGTCCGCTGGCCAGGTTCTCTTGTAGGAACTCGTCGAGTTTGACCTGCTCGTTTCGTGATAGCGGGTACACCTTGCAGTCCACTGCTTTGGAACTGGGTTTGAGCTCAATCGCATGATCCCAGGTTCGTCGGTCTGGTAGCGAGTCGAATGATTCCCTGGCAAATACTTTGACGAATTCCCGGTATTGATCCGGAATTTTCCCTTCGGTCATCCTCTCCTTCTCTTTTTCCGCTTCTTCTGCGAATTTCTGCGCCGGTGTTTCCTTCAGCCGTAGATCTACCTCCTTTCCAAAGTCGATCAGCAGGATCGATTCTCCCTCTTCCAGATCCGGTGCGCTCGTGTCCAGGTCGATTGCATCCATGTCAATCATCGCTTGGTGTTCCTCGTGACCCCTCATGTGACACCGTTCTGGGCATCGGCTGAATCTCATCGTTTGCTCCTGCCAATCCACCTCCGGGTTGTGTTCCGTCAGCCAGTCAAGACCAATGAAGTTCCGGGCCTTCCCTAAGCACGTCAGAAGGAACGTGCGTGTCTCCACGTGAGGACCGATTCTCATCCTTAGGTCAACGTAATGCATGATCCGGCCGCTGATGTTTTCGGTGTTGTCGGCGTTACGAGCCACAATGGGTTGGGGAAGTTCTTGGATATCCAGCTTCTCTGCCCGCGCGTAGTCGGTATCGATGCAGCAGGTGCTACAGCCACTATCGAGTAGCGCCTTGGCTCCGCGCGTCTTTCCTGAGTCCAGGCCTGTGATCTGGACATATACGTCCATCGAATGTCTCTTCCTTTCGGCCTGGTAGTTGCGCAATTCCTGCGCCAGTCTGCTGGGCTGGGGGCCCTTCTGTCTCTCGGCTGCCCATTTCCTTTGAACGGCATCCGGCACCCTTGTGCGTTTGGGTGCTTCTGGAATCCTGATTTCGGCAGATTCCTTGGGCGCTTCCTCCTTTTTCAAGGATTGAGCCTCCGGAGCGATGCTCCCCTTTTCGGTCTTTGTTGACGTGGTTCCTTCTCCACGAGCCATAAATACGTAGGAGTCCAAAATTAATTTATCCGCAGCTTTCTGATCCTTTTTACTTTGTAAATACTCTCTATTTAAAACTATTTTTCTTTGTCGTTCCTTTTCCATATCAGCAATGAGAAAATCATGAATATTGGTACGTAATGAGTCCGAGATTGTATATGTATGTGTAGAATCGTTCATGTCTTTAATCGAAACAAGTACAGAAAAACGTCCATAGTCCGGACGCTCCACCTCCTTGGCTAGAGGAGTGGAGCGCTTCAAAAACCCTTCTCGCGCAGCTTCTCGGCGATCTCCTTCAGGAACTCGTTGTCCTTGTCCCCGTTCTCGATCTCTTCTAGCATTGTGGCCCGATTGAAGAACGTGCGCTTCTTCTTGGGCTCAGGGCAGTTCCGCGCAATGTGCCCAGGCTGCTGACAGTTGTAGCAGATGATATTGCGGCCACGGGCGTGGGTGCGATCGATCTCCATCGGAACCGGCTCATTGGCCGCTGGTCGGGCCGGAGCGGGTGCAGGTGCTGATGGTGCAGCCTGAGGGCGGAATTGGGGTGGGGGCCGCGGAGTTGAGTGCGCATAGGATGCCTTACGCCGCTGATCGCGCAAGGCATTGGCCTCGATGTTGACGCACCAGTTCTTGAAGGCACCATATGCCTTGGGCAGGGGGACGCCGGTGTTGTAGAGGCGGCTTGCAATTTCGCTGCTGAGTCCGCGCTCGAGGAACTCGATGAGGATGTTGTCCTGATCCCCCTTCTTGTACTCGCCCTTGTCATCGGTTGAGGCGACCACGTTGTACCCCGCGTCCGCAGCCAGCATTTCGAAGTCAGAGATGTAGTCCGCGAAGGACCGTCTGCCCTGGCGAAGGGCCATGAGTCGGGCGGCAGCGACTTGCTCTGCGTTAGAATCCCCAAAGGCCCTCTGAAGCTCCTCCAAGAAGCTTGTCGCGGTGACTCCCGCCTTTAGTCCTTGGAAGCCCTCGAAATTGTGCTGCTTCCAGTTCATCGCCCATCTTGAGGCGGCGCAGCTTGTGCCGCTCTCATTGCGGAGGTAGGACAGGACGAAGAGGATTTTCGTCTCGTCCAGCGAGAACTCTGACCGATAGGCACCGATGTAAGTGGTGCACGCGTCCACAAAGCCCAGGTATTTGGACTTGTCGCCATCGAAGTAGGGGGGGTTGGCAGCGAGAGTGATGCGGTGATGTCCTGACATGGTAGGAGCAGGTGCGGTAGGTGGGGGCGAGGGTGGTTGTTCGGAGGGTAACTCGCCAAGGTCGGGGATCTCGTCTTCAGGCGGCGGGAGGGCGAGGTAGGGGTTGGAGGGTCCGGGTTCGTTTTGATGCGCCAGATCGGGCGACGATGGTATGATGGGGGGAGGGGATGGGCTCCCAGATGACGATGGGAATCGGTACGAAATGGTGGATTCGTGTGCTGTACAAGCACTCGAGGAAAGGTTCTTTTGCTAGCAAAAAGACCCCGGGCCTAGCTCTTCACGTGCCCGATGATCCCGAGGTGCGTTTTCCCGAAGGTCTCCGCAGCACTCCTTGTAGCTACCGTAAGGCTTGGGTCGGGCTCAACGTTACCCGTGGCCTGGTGCTGTTTGCTCGATATGAACCTTTCACTGCGATCGCAGCGAGCGACTAGATGATTCGGTAAAAGGGTGAGTGGGGTGGTAAGGGTGAAGAGGATATAGCGGGCGTAGCGGTGCACGGAGCAGGGTAGGAGGTAAGAGGTACGAGGGTATGAGGGGAGTCTTCGAATTATGTGACAATCAACCCAAAAACAAAGTCGAAAAGAGAAGTGAATTCGAAGACTGGAGAATACAACCAAGTAGCTACAGTATTTATACCCAAATCCAGTCTGAGTCATATCTACAACTAATGAGTCATAGGGCTATGTACCACATGGAACGCTGGTCATGGGTTGTAGTAGAACCTTCCGGAGCATACGTCGCGCAGCCTTGAATCGATAGAGATAACCCCTGGAACCCCTAGCCCGGACCGTCTGATGCCGTGATCCGTGATAAGATAAGTCGTGCCAAGATAAGATAGGATCGTCGATGATAAGATGAAAAAGAGTCGAATTATGACATATCCGTTATCACGAAACGAGCAGGTCAAACTCGACGAATTCTTACAAGAGAACCTGGCCAGTGGACGGATCAGGCCATCAAAATCACCCATGGCCTCAGCATTCTTCCTTGTCAAAAAGAAGGATGGTTCACTACGCCCCGTGCAGGATTATCGGAAGCTGAACAAGATGACAATCCGAAATCAATACCCGCTGCCACTGATCTCCGAGCTGGTCCATAATCTATGCGGCGCCAAGTTCTTCACCAAGCTCGACATCCGATGGGGATACAATAACGTACGGATCAAAGAGGGCGACGAGTGGAAGGCTGCGTTCCGCACGAACCGCGGACTGTACGAGCCCTTGGTCATGTTCTTTGGTCTCACGAACTCCCCGGCCACCTTCCAAAACATGATGAACGACATACTCCGAGAACTGATCAACGAGGGACACGTGGTAGTCTATCTGGACGATATACTGATCTTTACAGAGAACTTGGACGAACATCGGCGGATCACGAAACGAGTGCTCGAATTACTCCAGAAGCACAAGCTATACCTGAAGCCCGAAAAGTGCGAGTTCGAACGCACGGAAATCGAATATTTGGGTGTAATTATTGGACACAATTCGATGCGGATGGACCCAGTCAAGATCAAGGGCGTGATGGAATGGCCGGAACCAAAGAGCGTCAAACAAGTCCAAGCGTTTCTAGGGTTCACAAACTTCTATCGGCGCTTTGTCCGGGGATACGTGGAGGTTGCCAAGCCATTGACACGGCTGACAGGGAAGGCAGGATGGTCATGGGGTGCAGATGAGCATGCGGCATTTGATGGATTGAAGAAGAGAATCGCGGAGGATGCAGTCCTAGCACTGCCAAATGACACTGGCCAATATCGTCTGGAAGCCGATGCTTCGGAAGGGGCAACAGGATCAGTTTTGAGCCAAAACCAAGACGGCATTTGGCGCCCAATCGCATTTATTTCGCACGCACTGACCGAAACCGAGCGAAATTACGAGATCTACGACAAGGAAATGCTTGCAATCATGCTATCATTGGACGAATGGAGGCAGTTACTCCTGGGAGCCACGGAAACGTTCGAGATCTTCACCGATCATCAGAATCTCGAGTACTTTCGGAAGCCGCAGAAGCTCAATCGACGGCAAGCAAGATGGATCACGGAGTTGGCGGAGTTTGATTTCACCTTACGACACCGACCCGGCGCACTCAACCGCAAGGCGGACCTCCTGTCTCGACGAGCAGATCACGATCAGGGCAAGAACGACAACAAGGACGTCACGCTACTGAAGCCCGAGTTCTTCCGATCACAAGAAGTCACATTCGAGGGACAGGATCAGCAGCTAATCGATGAAATCAAGGCCATTCGATCAATTGATGGAAGCGTCAAGGCGGCCGTAGAGAAGTCACTCGTCGGATGGAAGAAGGAAGAGGGGCTTATCACGTACCATGGGAAGCTCTACGTACCAAGGGACGAGGAGTTGCGGGACAAAATCATTGGACTACACCACAACACCCCTTTGGTCGGACACGCTGGGATCAACCAAATGCAGGAGATGGTGGAAAGGAACTACTGGTGGCCAAGGATGGGAAACCAAATTCGGAAATACATCCAGACGTGCGAAGCATGCCAGCGGACCAAGACCAGGAGAGCAAGGACAGGGAGTTTGCACCCGCATGCAGTTCCAAATGCGCCGTGGGAAATCATCTCCATGGATCAAATCGGACCCTTGCCAGTCAGTAACGGGTATGACGCAATTCATGTGTGGTGTGACACCTTCACCAAAATGATCCATGTCGAACCAATTAGTACTGACATCAGCAGCGAAGGAGTGGCACGATTAACCAGGGACCGAGTCTTCCGCTACCACGGGATCCCTCGCAAGATCATCACCGACAGGGATTCGCGTTACATCAAGGGCTTCATGAGGGAGACGAATCGGATGTTGGGCGTGGAAATGAATCCGGGGACCGCATATCACCCGATCACGGATGGACAGACAGAACGCATGAATCAGGAGATCGAACACTATCTCCGCATCTACGTCAACTACCATCAAACGGACTGGTCGGAGTGGCTAGGGATGGCAGAGTTTGCATATAACGATAAAATGAACACATCTACCAAAATATCGCCATTCTATGCGAATCACGGATATCACCCATGGAAGGGAGTGGAGCAGCGGATGGAATCGAGGAACGAGTCAGCGGAGGAATTTGTAAAAAGAATGAAAGAAATACAAGACGAAGCAAAAGCAGCACTAGAAAAAGCAAAAGAAAAAATGAAAAAATACTACAATAAACAAAGAAAAGAAGTTCCGGAGTTGAAAGTTGGCATGAAGGTGTACATAGAAGGGGAGAACATCGAGACGGATAGACCATCAAAGAAGATGAGCGACAAGAGATTAGGGCCATACGAGATACTGGAGAAGGTTGGAGCGGCTGCATGGAAGCTGGATTTTCCGGACACGGACCAAAGACATCCGGTGTTCAACGAGTCACTGTTGACACCCTATCACGAACCACCCCCCCATCGCCGAGAGAAGAGGCCTGTAGCCAAGATGATCGGAGGAGCAGAAGAGTGGGAAGTCGAAGAAATCGTGAAAGAGCGAAACGTCGGCCGAGGAAGACAGTACTTGGTCAAATGGAAGGGATGGCCGCATAGCGAGAACACCTGGGAACCATCGCGTCACCTTACCCACGCGAAGAAGGTCCTGAGAGATTGGCAGAGGAAACAATCCAACCCAGACACACGCATTCGCCTCCTGCCAACTCTCGAAGCCGGACATTGGGATTATCTCATCCATTGCTACAAACCCAAAGACGAGCGCCTTCCATATCCCCAGCGACAACTCTTCGATCCGTACGAAAACGTCTTCACGCCCATTGGCCTAGTCGATGAGGACATCAACCCTAGAGAGGGGGTAATGTCATAACTCGACTCTTTTTCATCTTATCATCGACGATCTTATCTTATCACGGCACGACTTATCTTATCACGGATCATGGTATCAGACGGTCCGGGCTAGGGGTTCCAGGGGTTATCTCTATCGATTCGAGGCTGCGCGACATATGCTCCGGAAGGTTCTACTACAACCCATGACCAGTGCTCCATGCGGTACATAGCCCTATGACTCATTAGTTGTAGATATGACTCAGACTGGATTTGGGTATAAATACTGTAGCTACTCGTAGTCGGCAAAAGTAATGGACGCTACGTCATTTGATCTGATGCGCTCCACCAACATGCCCACATGACACCAAACTTGTGTACATACATCTTGGTACGTCCTAATTTCATCCTGTAACTTCACTTCCATGCCAAGGTCATCCAGTTACACTCGGCACTCCGAAGAATCCAAAAACCAGTTTGTTGGTGCCATGACTGTTGAACCCAACATCAAGAAGCATGCTGCGGCGCATGGGATCCCGTACGAAACTGCTCGAAAGATCTGGAGGAAGTATCAGGAGACCGGCTCCATTGAAAATCTTCTTCTCAGCGGTCGTCCAAAGAAGATCACACCCGCAGTCGAGAAGAAAATCGCAAAGACGGCACGCGCCATTCGCCGCATGCCATTTGAAGACATTGGCAATCAAATGGATCCGCGGATCAGTGCGCGAAGCGTCGGGAGGGTGCTGGACAAGGAGGGTTTGCATCGACGGGTTGCTAGGGTTGTCCCGTATCTTACGGAGGATCACAAAGCGGCTCGTTTGGCATGGGCGGAGCGTTTGGCAAGCAAGACAGATCGGCAATGGGCTTGGGTCATCTGGTCTGACGAATGTTACATTCATTTGGACGGCGGAGCACAGCGGGTGTGGGTAACGAGAACAAGTGAGGAGGTGTATGATCAAGATTGCCTCGTTCCTCGCTTCAAACAGTCTCCGATTCGCGTCATGGTGTGGGGATGCATCGCGCATGATTGGAAAGGACCTCTGATTGTCCTTGAGTACCCGGGAGGCCGCGGAGGCGGGATGACCGCGGAGCGTTATCAAAAGCAGGTGCTGCAGAAGGTGCTTGAGGATGCTCTGGCCGATGTCAAGAAGCAGAGAGGCAGTCGAGCTCGAATCGAGTTTCAACAAGATGGTCCGTCGTGTCACACAGCCAAGTCAACAAAGAAGTGGTTGGAGAACCACAAGATCCCTCTATTTCCTCATCCAGCGAGCTCCCCCGATCTCAGCCCCATTGAGCCCGCTTGGCACGAGTTGAAGAAGCGCATCCGACTCCGCCAGCTGCAGTCATCGTCGTTTGAATCTCTCAAAACTGCCATTTTAGAGGAGTGGGAAGCAATGCCCATGGAGGACATAAACAAGTACACACGGGGTATGAGGGCACGAGTTCAGGCTGTATTAGAGGCTCAGGGAGGACATACAAGGTACTAGAATGTTAAAAATCCGGTGAATTTTGGTCCACGGTTGTGTATTTTATCGAGCGTCCATTACTTTTGCTGACTACGAGTATTTGGTTGTATTCTCCAGTCTTCGAATTGACTTCTCTTTTCGACTTTGTTTTTGGGTTGATTGTCACAAGACATCACACTGCTTTGTCCAGAGCTGTTCCACGTCCGGGCCCTTGAGGGTCTCACTGTCTCTGGACCTGAGACCCCTCTCTTGCGCAACATCCGGGAGGCCCTCGCTGGTACCCCTGACATGGAGGAGCCCATTGTGTTGGCAGCACGTGAGCTCCTCAAGGAACGTGGAGTTTGCTCTGCTCAGGCTGTGAAGTGGCAAAAAGAGGGTGGCCTGCTCTACTTCCATGGCAAGCTGGTGGTTCCACGCAACAACAACCTCTGCCAACACATCCTTGAGCAGCACCACAACACCTGTGTTGCAGGGCATGCTGGCCGCTTCAAGACGTTGGAGCTCGTCTCCCAGAACTACTGGTGGCCCCAGATGTCCTGACACGTTGGCCAGTATGTGGCCACCTGCGACCTGTGCTGCCAAACCAAGGCGCTCCGTCAACTCCCAATTGGGGAACTCTATCCCACGAAGGTCTCTTTGGAACGCTGGGAAGCAGTGTCGGTCGATTTCATTGTGCAACTGCCAGATGCCCATGGATATGACACCATCATGGTCATTGTAAACATGCTTGGGAAGTGTGCCCACTTTATCAAGTGCCACAGCCTTCTCTCTGGTGAGGGTGCCACCTGGCTTTTCTACAAGCACATCTGGCGCCACCACGGGCTCCCCACCAAGTATGTCTCTAACTGGGGCTCTCAGTTCATAGCGGACTTCACCCAGGAGCTGTGGAAGCTGGTTGGTGTCTTGCCAGCTATGTCTACTGCTTACCATCTGCAGACTGACGGGCAGACTGAGCGTGTCAATCAGGAGCTTGAGCAGTTCCTCTGGATCTTCACCAGCTACAGCCAGGACAACTGGGACAAACTGCTCCCGGCCGCGGAGTTTGCTTACAACAATCACGTCCACTCCTCAATGCAGCAAGTCCCATTCATGATGGACACCGGTGAAATGCTGAGGGCGTGCTCACAGGTGAATCTACTATGAAAGTAAACCCAAATATAAACACGTTCACACTCCTCGTAATCAGCTTCTCAGTGTGTGAAAGATGCGAGGGCTTCGGGGTGGACAGAGCACCAGTATCACAACTCTCAATAGACGCAGATCCAATAGTCGCGGAGACGAAGTCGACGACAAGGATATATATATAGCAAAACAGTGGTATCTCAACCAATATCTTCTATACAAACACAATCAACACTAATCCAATCCACAACCAACAATATAACAAGTCAGAACTTAATACGAAGTATTAAGATCCCTTGTAGCGACAGCGTCTAGATGGTGATGCAAAGCCCAAATATCAAGTCGACGCACTGCCAACCGATACAACCAATATACTGAGTCGACGCACTGCCAACTAGTAGAACCAAAATGTCAAGTCAACGCACTGCCAACTGACACAACCAAAAGTACTGAGTCGACGCACTGCCAACTAGTAAACCAAAATGCCGCGTCGACGCACTGCCAACTAACAGCCAATATCCAATGTCCAAAACCTGAGCACAACTTGTCGACGCACTGCCAAGCAAGAAGTGTGGAACCAAAGTTCTCAAGTCGACGCACTGCTAACTGACCAAAACAACCCGAGCACAACTAGTCGACGCACTGCCAAGTTAGAGGTGTGGAACGATCTCAACAAAGCCCAAAGGCGACGACACTAAATGCCGCGACTAAACCAGATGCGGCGAATCCGACTTTCTGATGTCTCAACTCAAACTCAAATCACAGTAGCTACAAGTGCTCAGGGAGCAACTCGTCGCGACCGGGCAGGGGTAGCAGAACTTCTTAGGGTGGAATCACGCGGCACGCAAATTGTACAAAACAATCTGAAATGAGAGTGATTCACAGTCCGGGGGAAAGCTTTCTAATACAAAGAAACGACGTGCTACTTATACTGTCTACGACGATGCTTAGTAAAGTCCTGTACAACTGCATAGTAGCTACGCTATCTAAGATCGGTTGCCTTTTAGGGTAATTGAAAAGTTGAACGATCGGACAGGTCCTGAGTGATCAAGACCCCGCCCCATAGTCCATATGATACTTTTGATGTGGGTCAACCCACCGCGTCATACTTTTGGAATACGACGTGCTGGATTGGCCAACGGGTATGTCTTGGCAAGTGAGACCAACGTGGGCGCCCCAAGAAGCCGTATGGCCCTAGGCACGCCGGCCGTCCCTCACATGGTTCGGTTCACGGATCTAGCCGTGTCGATTTTAGTGTGTTTGGGTATGGGCACGACTCGCCGTGACACTTGGAAGTGTCACCGCGACGCGTCCACAATGTCCCGTGATCGAATGGATCCTGACATGTGACAAGTCGTCGTCGTGGCATGATCTGAGGAAACAACCAACTCAAAACCGGGAGTTGCCGCGACAAGATGGTTTAGATCTCGTAACGCCAAGTCCTGTCCAGTAGTAGTTGTATTATTGAGAATGTCGCACATTGCTCAGCCCTTCAGCCCAAGTTCCCATCTGCAGAGAATGACCCTTTTTGAGAAGTCGACGCAACGACAGATCCCTTTTTGGGGAATGGTTGCGGTCCAAGCGTTCGTCACTAATGGCCCTGAGCCTGGTATAGACTCATAAGACCAGTTCCACAGTAGCGGTCTGACTGCCTTGCTATCGTCGACACTATCCACAGTCGTCGACTGGGCAGTAGACCCTTAAGTCCTACTGAGCGCAACACTGTCACCCGCGACACGATACACCGAGTGGTTCAAGAGTAAACTCTGTAAAAAGCGCAAAAATACGCCCTTACAGAGCTGGTGCAGAGCACGTCTGGTAGCCAGCCTATCACCGGTCGGCTCCCTCATATGGGCTTTGAGCCGAATGGGCTGTACTCAGCTATGAGCAAATCAGCAAACGAGTTCCACGACCAAATTGCTTCCGGGGTAGCTGAAGCCAAGTCTGCGCTGGTGAAGGCAAAGGAGGAGTACAAGCAGTACTACAATTGCCGGAGGACCCCAGCTCCTGACATCAAGGTCAGAGATCAAGTTTGGCTTGACGCATCTAACATAGCAACAATGTGTCCATCCCTCAAATTCTCCCATCGACGTCTGGGTCCCTTCAAAGTCACCCAGGTTGTAGTGGCATTCTACCGCAAATACCCCAGCAAGCCGCGCGTCATTGCTGCTGCTGTCTTTGACTCCCTTCCTTTTCAGCACCCCTCTGCTACCATCTGCACGTTGCGTCAAGGCACCGCAATCCAAGGGGGGGGGGGGTGATATCAGGGGAACCCCTGCTTTGGACCAATCAGCCTGGGATCTGGCATGTGATTGTGCTCATGTGACCTGTCAGCTGTCACACGCAGCAGCCCAGACCACCGTGCTGAGTGCTTCTCTTTGATGGCAGGTGGTGTCATAGTTCCTATTGTCTCTGTTTCCTATTGTTCTGTCATGACCATTGTACTCGTGGGAAATATAAGTTTTGGACGGTGCGTCATGGTGTCCCATGAGCTCCACAGACGGGGTCACAGGGTCAATTTTTTTTGTCTATGGTACTTCATAACCTGTACTACCCTACTATCATGCCCAAAGACCAATCCCATCCCCGACATTCTCTTGATAAGAAGAATCAGTTCGTTGGTGCGATGATCGCAGATCCACACATCAAGAAGCAGGCAGCAGCCTTCGACATCCCATATGAAACAGCGCGTAAACTCTGGAGAAAGTACCGGGACCGCGGCTCTGTCGAGAATCTTCCGCAGAGTGGTCCTCCGAAGAAGGTCACTGACAAAATGGAAGTGCAGATGGTGCAAACGGCGCGGGAAAACAGGAGGATGGCATTCGGGGACATCGGCAGTCAGATGGACCCGCCAGTGAGCGGGACAACCGTTGCGAGGGTTCTGGATGCCAACGGGCTGCACCGACGGGTTGCCAGACACGTTCCGTACCTCACCGACAAGCACAAGGTGGATCGAATGGTGTGGGCACGGCGGAATGAGGGAAAGGGTTTGCGAGGGTGGGAAAAGATCTTGTGGTCAGATGAGTGTTACATCCATCTGAATGGGAGCAATGGGCGGATCTGGGTGACGCGAGCAGCGGATGAAGTGTACAAACAGGACTGTCTTGTACCGGAGTTCAAGCAGTCCCCTGTCCGCGTTATGGTGTGGGGTTGTGTGGCTCATGGGTGGAAAGGGCCGTTAGTCATCCTCGAGTACCCAGGAGGGGAGAAGGGCGGTATGACAGCAGAGAGATATCAGAATCAGGTTCTCCGGAAGCACTTCCCACAGGTCCTGAAGGATTTGCATCGAGAACGAGGTCGCCGCATCAAAATCTACTTCCAACAGGACGGTGCATCATGTCACACGGCAAAGTCAACCCAGGCTTGGCTGAAGAAGAACAAGATCCCTCTCTTCCCACATCCTGCCAGTTCACCCGACATCTCCCCGATTGAGCCTGTCTGGCACGAACTCAAGAAGCGTGTTCGGGCTCATCTGCCCCGACCAACGACATTCGCAACATTGAAAGCTGTCATTCAAGAGGAGTGGGAAGCAATGCCATTAGATGACATAAATAAACACACGGCTGGTATGGTGGCTCGTGTGCAAGCTGTACTTGATGCAGAAGGAGGACATACACGATTTTGAATTGTATAATTTAATGTTTCTGGCTACGAGCAAGTCAAAGAGGAGATCACCATCCAAAACTTATATTTCCCACGAGTACTTATTGTTCCTATTGTTCTTGTTTGTTGCTGCACGGTCTATTGTTCCTGTATTATATAAATAGTGGCACCCGGCAGGGAGAATCCCCAACACGGTTTCTCTTTGGATTCTCCCTTGCCAGGTATGCCGGTCTTGTACCTAGCTACCACTATTATTCACTTTGGATTCTCCCTTGCCAGAACTCTGAGATCGGGTCTCAAGGTTGCCCTTACACCAGGTGTTGAGCTGGTTTCAAGAATGCACACCTACCTAAGGTTGGCTTCATAGAAGAGTTGGATCTGCTCGTGTTTGGCTTTTTGGACCCAGCTTATGTTGTTTGCAGCCACCATCTAATACTGGATTTCAGTGGCGGTCGGACAAACTCTCTTCTCAGTACAACAAAAAAGACAGCAGCAAGATCTGTGGATGAGACAAGTAATTGGGCCTCATTCTATGTGAACATGTAGGTTTGTCCTTGTTCATTGAGAATTGTAGCTCACAGGGAGCTCAGATTCCTTGATTGTGATATGGTCATGCAATTCTTTGGAGGGGGAATTGGGCATCTGTCTGTACAACTGGAGATGGAGGAGAGGATGCAGATGAACCAGACAAAGATGAAGATCAGGAGGACAAGGAAGACACACCAGAGAAAGACAACCAAGAGGAAGACAAGGAGGATGAAGATGACTCAGAGGAGGACAACTCAGAGGAGGTAGAGGAGGATGATTTTGGTGTGGACAGTGAGGATGATCATGAAGACACAGGTTATGCAGACCTCTAGTCAGAACATTGTATAATATGTGTTGTGTGTCTTAATGAGTGATCCTGGTCAGATCAAGCATTGTGTGGAGATGTACAAGTTTGGGATTGAGCATTTGCTCAAGGCTACTTATTGCTCATTATGTACTCAAATTGAATTGTCACAATATTTTCAACCCGGAGAGTCCTTACTAATAGTCACTGTATTGGCTGTCTAGTACTCATGAAAACTAGCCATGCTAATATTGATGGATGAGAGGCCCATAAGTCTACTTTTGGCTACTCCAACACCAAGTAGTCTGATGACCACAAGCAAGACTGCTTGCCTACTGATGAGTCCAGTGACGGACTCAACACAGCTTGTGAGCAGCTGATGAGCTGCATCTATGTATCAGCATTATTGATGATCTCGTGATTGCCATCAGCGCTGATACACAGTTGTCTTATTTCCTGATGGCCTGAATTGTTCTTGAATCAACATCCAAATTGCTGCTGAATCATCATATTTGACTGGCCCCATTGCACAGATTGTTGATATTCAGAGCCAGCTCTAAAACATGTTAATTGGTACCATTAGAGCTGTCCAGCAGAAGCTAAAAACAATTTTTTTTATAAGAAGAATCTCGTTGTGGAGCATTTTTTGCTCACTGAAATCTCTTTAGTGGAGCTATGAGTAAACTGAATTGGAACAAGGAGCTGCCAAAATTGTATCCAAAATTGGCAATTCGTGGTCTGTGCGATCAACGTTCTGACCCGGAAGACACATGTGGACAGGGCACTCAGCCCTGTCAAGTTTGTCGACTGCCTCTTGACCTTACGCTTGCACACTACACCCCTGTACTTCTGGGACCGCTCCAATGCGCATCATTGTGACGTAGGGAGATGTAGAACGATCCCACTGGTGGCTCCATGTAGCGGATGGAGAAGTGCGTGAGAGTCACTTCAGGCCTGTGTTCCGTGTTCGGGGTGTCACATGATCACCCTGGAGCACAACCTTGGAGGTTGTTTCTCATTTATATTTTGATTAGGCTCTAACAAATTTGGATAAGATCTAAATAAGAAAAGAGCTCCAAGTGTTCTGCTGGACAGCTCTATTGGTGGCCTCTTCCCTTTCGTTGCGCTGATCCCTACAAATCACAATTACATGTGAACGGTTCATTGGCTCATGAATGACGGGAATATGATGCTAGGCAATAGCTGAAACGAACGAGGTCCCTGAGACCCTTACCAAAAGGTTACGAGAATCAGAGTGTGCTTAGGCTCTTTGAGTCGCCTAGTCTAGCCGCGTTGACTCATGTCCTATGACAGTTAACGATAGCTCTTGACCTCACCCTCTGTACGTCTTTTGCTGATCTGCACCCATGCTTTCTGGTGGCTCCCGCCGATCGCGGCTTCTCTTCCCATGGGCTCCATTCGAGTGCTCGGGGCCGCCTCTGTCCAAAGATAAGTGCGCACTTAATGTTCTCACCCATGGATAGAAAAATTCCGCGTACCCCTGGGGCCAGGTAATAACGTCGCACGTCACTGATCTGTGGGATGCATGATCCAAACTCGACGGAAATGACCGTTGGCGAGATGGCCAGTGCGAGTGCTCATGCGATGGTTAGTTCCAGAGGATAATCCTCCGATGCAAGAAGAGAGGATCTCATTGCCGATCTAGAGGCATGAGAGTCATTGCATACGTCAAAAAAGCCATGCTGTAAATCCTCGAAGGTTCGTTTTTGAAGTCAATGCCCGACCGTAGTTGACCATCATGATTACAGTTGCGCTCACGTGTCGGGCACTCCAATTGCCGCCGCTGTCACACTCTCATCTTCAACTTTCCTCCTACGCATTCCATCCAGTTCCATAAGCGCTAATTTTGTACACTCTCATGCTCGGACAAGCAAACGCGCACTTGATCTCGGGTCCAATCCAATCCGTATCTCCATGAACGCGAATCTTACGGGCCTCCCATACACTATTGCATTGCCGCTCAGGGTTTGGCCGGGATGCATCCATACCCGGCACTTCTCCAGTCGCTTCTTGCACGCATTTCCCGTCCCTTGCGGAGAACTTGCTTCTGGGGAACTAACTAGAGAACAGGGCACGGGGCCGGCCGGGTTTGCGAAAACCAGTGAGGTTGCAGGTATGACCAGGACGACGCTCAATACTTCGTGTCGCAGTTCCACGGTCGGACGACTTCCTGACTGAGTAATCCCTGGCGTTCCCACAGAACCGCCTTTTAAGTGACCGTGTCGAGCCCTGAATACGTACTGCATACATCATGGGTACTGTGCTCCAAACCACATTCACAACACTCGCCGTTGTCGTCTTATCCGCCCTTGCGGCGCCATCTCCTGCCTGGAATTTTGTTGAAAAGGGTGTCTCTGGGATCGTCGCGCTCGAAGCGATCGTGGTTTCCCCGAAGCTCGTCGTATTCTTCGACCGCGCGACGAACGACCCCCTCAAGACCGCCGACGGCAAGACGGCATGGGGCGAGCTTTGGAACTTGGAGACCAATACCGGGACCCCGCTGAAGCTTGTGTCGGATTCTTTCTGCGCCTCGGGGGCGCTTCTCAGCAACGGCACCATGGTCTCCGTCGGCGGGCACATCCCTGAGCCTGCCGATCTCAATCAGACTGGGGCGGTGGACGGTCGGATGGGTCTCAGGCTCTTTGGGCCATGTCTTGACCCTCCTGCCGGAGCCGGCTGCAGTGTGTTCGAGGACTTGGAGCACCTTCATCTGGCTGAAACTCGTTGGTACCCCTCGTCTCTGCGGATCTTCGATGGGTCCTTGGTGCGTTTATTCTGTCTCTTTGCCTTTGGGTGTGTAACTATTGATTAGATGATCGTCGGCGGCATACATGAAGGCACACCTTTCTACAACACTGGTAAGGCGATCGCATTCGCTGTTCTCAGTCTCTCGTTCATGTGTTCGGACAGATCCTGTGAACAATTTCGAATTTTTCCCGTCTAAAGATGGTGGCGTCCCACGACCTTCCGCTTTCCTTGAGCGCACCCTTCCCGCCAATCTGTTTCCTCGGTGAGCTTCACGATTAGGCCACTTTCGGCATCTGAAGTTCTCCAGTGTTTTTGCTTTACCTGACGGCAAAGTGTTCATGATTGCTAGCAACCAGTCCATCATCTATGACATCGAGGCGAAGACAGAGACCATCTTGCCCGACCTGCCCAATGGTGTTCGAATCACCAATCCTATGGACGGGACCGCTCAGCTTCTGCCGTTGTCTCCGCCGGATTACATTCCAGAGGTGCTCGCGTGCGGTGGATCAAACAAGAGCGATCAAACCCCCGTAGAGCAACTCTCGTCGCAAGATCCCGCTTCTTCGCAGTGCAGCCGTATCACTCTGACACCGGCCGGTATCGCCAAGGGCTGGGAAGTCGACCACATGCCCCAAGGTCGTATGATGCCAGAGATGATCATCATGCCTAATGGTCAGGTCGTCATTATCAACGGCGGGGAGACTGGGTATGCTGCCCTAAGCTCAATTGGCACGACGACCGGGAACTCGAATGCTGACCATCCAGTGTGAGTGCACGTCTTTGTGACGAGACACCGTGGCAGTTGATGGAAACATCAGGTTCACCCCAATTCTCTATACACCTTCTGCACCATTGGGCCGGCGCATGTCTCAAGCAGGGCTTCCAACGACCGACATTGCTCGCATGTATCACTCAACGGTCACGCTCACGCCTCAAGGGTAAGTGGTGCTACTCCATACATCAGTGTGAGGTGGTTGATCGTTTGGCAGGAACATCCTTCTCGGTGGATCGAATCCCAACCCGAATGTCACAGTTGTGCCTCCAGGACAGCCAGGATTCTCTTCGTAAGTTCTTTGGGCTCAGCCTTCCCAAATTGATGTTAATTCTTTTCCAGGGAGTTTCGGATTCAGACACTCGACCCCCCGTTTATGTCGATGGCCCGACCCACCCTGGCCAACGTTCCCACTCACATCGGGTTCAATCAGAATGTAGGTTCTTCACCAGAGTTCGAACATTTTCTCACTGCTGGCAGTTCACGATCCAAATCAGCGTGCCTGCTGGCGTTTCCACCGCATCCGTCAAAGGTTCTCGTCCTCCGTTCATAGTTTTACTCGCTTCTGATTCCGAGGTTCCAGTGGCTCTGATGGATCTCGGCTTCTCGTCACATGCATTCCACTCAAGCGCCCGGCTCGTTTTCATGGACGCCGCGCTGTCCAAGGATAAACGTTCTCTGACTGTGCTCAGCCCACCGAACAATCGCGTCTACCCACCTGGTCCAGGTCGGTCCGGCGTTGATCTGACCGAGAACGAGAGCTGATGGCCGTCATTCTAGCGTTCATCTTTGTCAGTATTGGAGAGACGACGAGTGTCGGAGCTCACGTCATGGTAGGATCCGGGGCAAACCCTCCAGTCAAGGACCAAGGAGTTCCACTGCCGATTTGAGTTACTCGACAATAGCACAATGGCTTTGAATGGTACAAATGAATGAAACGTTGTGAATTTCTTGAACCGGTAAAACGGAGTCCGCGTCGTGCCGTTTAGCCTGAAGCAACTTGAGAACTAAGAGCGGCCAAAACTCTATTTGCAGCAGGGAAAGTAGTTTGGCTGCGATGGCGAAAACTTGCACTGAGATGTCGCGATAATTACGAGCTCAATGGGATCGGTATATAAGATGGAGGCTGCTGTGGCGTTAGGGAGCTCTTCTCCGTCGTTCCCGGTTCCTCACCCCTCGACATCAAAATGCTATGTCCTTCGCATCTGAAGACGACAATCACCGCGTTTGATAAGCTACTCGCCTCCTTTCGGGCCTCCACGCACATGCACGTTACAGCAGATTTCCATATGTAAATTGGGCGCTGCCTCCCATGTGCGATGCCGCGATCAGAGAAGGCAACTCGCCGTTGACTCTTTCGTGATGTCATTCGTCGGAAAGGGGTTCTATGCCGATTCGGATCCCCAGTAGGAGTGCACATTTATAAGAAAGGGCTTGAATCGAGACCCAAGGAATCCAATTCGAAGCAGCTCGTCTTTCGTCCTGCTACTACCACCGACACTGGGCATCTGTTCCTCGACATCATGTCTATTCAGATCACCAACATACTGCGCGACGCAGGCGACGATGTGACTGGCAATATGGCAGCACAGGTGCGCGCCGGACTGCTCGGTTCTGGCCCCAAGCATCTCCCGACTATGCTGCTCTACGACGAGCGCGGGTTGAGGTCCGATCGACTTCTCCTCTTCCAACTGCAGGGCGTTGACGTCCGATCCCAGACTGTACGACGACATTACGACTAACGCCCCAGAATACTACCTCTTCGGCGCTGAGGAGGAGATCTTGAAGAACAAATCAGATGATATTGTGGCCGCAATGCATCGAGGCACGGGTGGCGTCTTCGACAACGAAGTCGTTCTCGAGGTCAGCCGATTTGTTTTCCGACACATCATGGGATGCTGACTGAGACCGCGACAGCTGGGCGCTGGGTGAGCTTTTCCTCCTATTCTATCTCCCGCGTGTGCGCTTGGTCGTAGTAAGACATGACGACAAGGACGGCCCGGCAGGGTCTGATGATTGATTGACACACATGTCCTCTTTCCTTGAGCAATGTTCTCCTTCCGAGCTTCGGGTCTTATTCTGGGCATTAGCTGACATCAAACCTCAGTGCACTACGCAAAACGTCCCACGTTCTTCTAGCCCTTGCTCGTCTCGTCGAAACCACGCCAGACTCGGACATCCCACCCATAACGTACTTCGCCTTGGATCTCGAACAACGTGAGCTCGAGCGCACCTTGGGCGAAATCAGTGCTTCGGCCGTGGGAAAGAGCCTGGAGGGTAAGGTGGAGACGCGTGGATTGTGTGCGACCTATGACCAAGGGCTCAAGTTTGCGCATTCTGGCGGCTTGTGGCACACTCGTGGCAACCGCCAACACCAATCAAACTCCCGCCGATCATTCTCGTTGCACGATTTCCGGGCAGTGCGCGATGTCTCTCCTCCGAGCTCGTCTGGCAGTGGCTCGTCCGAGGCAGCGACATCGCCACCCTCGACTCCAGATGACACTCCTCCACCGGTGCACCTGATGTTCCTGGGCTCATCTCTGGGCAACTTCTCACGGTCTGAGGGAGCGGCCTTCCTCCGCTCATTGCCTCTCCGGCCTGGATCCGGGGACACCCTTCTGATCGGCCTGGATCATGACAATGAGAAGGCTATGATTGAAGCAGCTTACAATGACAGCCGGGGCTATACGAAGCAGTTCATCTTGAACGGTCTCAAGACGGCTGGCAGAGCGATCGGGGATGAAAATTTGTTCGATGAAGATAATTGGGAATATGTCAACGTGAGTCAACCTTCGGCACACTACCGCACTATCTCTAAGCCTCAAATCAGAATTACGACATGACCGACCGGCGGCACGAAGCCTTTCTGCAAGCAAAGCGCTCTCATACAGTGATGCTCCCCGAAGAAGTCTGCTTTTCCATGGGGGAGAAGGTCAAGATCGAAGAGTCGTTCAAGGTTTGTTGGCTTGCTTTCCGGTCCCACTCAGCTTTCAATCTTGGCTAGTTTTCCGATGCGGACGCTTACACTCTTTTCTCCGAGAGCAGCTTGCGAGTGATTCAGCGCTGGACTGATAGCACTCATCGTTACTCTCTTTGGCTGCTTGAACGGCCGCTGTTTACGTTTCCATTATTATCATCCCTGCACGCATGCGACTCTCGGGGCCAACTCGTGCCGAAGAAGTTATATTCGACCTCTCCATTCGGTGTGCCTTCACCAGAAGAGTGGCAGAACCTCTGGGCGGCATGGGATTTTATCACGCGCCGAATGATCCCATCCTCCATGTTGATGCAGAAACCGATCGATCTGAGGCACATTTGTCTGTTCTACCTCGGCCATATCCCGACTTTCTTGGATATCCATGTGTCCAAGCTCCTCCAAGAGCCTCACACTGAACCCGAGTCTTTCAAGGTTCGTCTCATTCCAATCCTGATCTAGAAGGGGAACTCACTATCCCATCCAGCTAATTTTTGAGGTATCATCATCTTCCATATCTCCAAGCAAATCCTCATACCCATCCAGCGTGGAATCGACCCCGATGTCGACGACCCAAACATGTGCCATGTGCGCCATCACGAAACTGTACCTACCGTCTACTTACTATTCTTCCAGCCTCATTCGGCAGTCCCACAAAACGAAAGCGAGTGGCCGACTATGATGCAGATCCTTCGATTCCAAGCCCGGGTACGCGCCCGGGTGCTCAAGATCTACGAAAAAATCGATTCAGGCGCGTTGGCCCTGACACGCAAAGTCGGCCGGGTGCTCTTCATGACATTGGAACACGAGGCTATGCATGCAGAGACGTTGCTGTACATGCTATTGCAGAGAGCTGGGAGCGGGACGCTCCCACCTTCAGGATTTGTGACTCCGCCCTGGGAGTCTCTAGCCGAACAGTGGGACTCGGAGCCCGCACCACACAATTCCAGCATCGTGTTGGGGCCCGAGATGGTTGTGTATGGGCATGATGATCTCGAGGATGAGGATGACGCAGTCGCCGGCGACCATGAGTTTGGCTGGGTGATTGACCATGGTCCCAGTGTGACCGCCAGTTTTTGAATGTTGCCACAGGATAACGAGCATCCTAAACGCCAGACGCAAGTGGGCCAGTTCCGGATCGAGTGGCGCCCTGTGACGAACGGGCAGTTCTATCGATTCTGGACGACCACCAGTGAAGATGTGGCTCTGCCTGCCAGCTGGGTCGAGGTTGACGGGGAGATGCGGGTGTGTCCGCAGCCGATCTCGTCTATGCTGGTGCTGACTTGACCAGGTCCGCACTCTCTATGGGCCCATTCCAATGAAGATCGCCAAGAACTGGCCCGTGCTGACGTCGTATGCCAACCTCTCCAAGTACGCTGTCGTCCAGGGCGGTCGCCTGCCCACTGAGGCCGAGCTCCGGTTGTTCAACGCCAAATTCTCGGCTGGGCACGGGGGAGGAGAAAACGTCGGCTTCCGGAACTGGCATCCTGTCCCGTGAGTGCATGTTCCGGGTCATGGGACGCAGCCTGATCTTCAAATTGCAGTGCCACCACTGGCAACGGTCAGCGGGGCAGCAACGGCGGAGTCTGGGAATGGACGTCTACCGTGTTCGACCGGTACGGCGGATTTGTGCCGTCCAAGTTGTACCCAGGGTACTCTGCAGACTTTTTTGACGAGAACCATCGTGTTGTGGTGCGTTCCATCTCTTTTCTCTCCGCTCGATCTGATCCCCAAGTAGCTTGGCGGGTCATATGCTACGATCCCCCGTCTCGCCGAGCGCAAGAGTGTTCGTAACTGGTATCATCACAAGTATGCTTACGCTTGGACCGCCGGCCGAGTCGTATATGATGTGTGATGTTGGGGGTTTGAAATGGTCGTTTCCGACCTCAATCTGTATCATCTACATCTCTGTAACCACCGGCAATGTAACACCGCCTTTTGCATTCACAGTTTATGCAAAATAGCTAGGGGGCGCAACATTTGTCGAGTCTCCAGACGCGGCTGCCTCCGCTAGCGGTGCTTCCGACCTCTTGGAAGTCACTTCGGGCATCGCAGGAGGATGGCTCAGGTCGATGACAAATGGCGACACCTGTCGCTCTAGAGGACCGCGCCTCATTAACAGCGTGGTTTGGTTGCGTGGAACAATTCCTATTCGATCCACCGAGTTCGACTCTGGTCCATGATTCTGCTTGCGCTTGCAATATCGTGATATCATCAGCACGGCGATGACACAGCCCATCAAACCTCCGACTATCCCGCCAAGGAGTGCTGCGGAAGGACGGTGCCTTGTAACGGAAGATTGGAGCGCTGGAGTCGAAGATGGATAAGCAGTGTTCAGTGCACTCCATGCGGACATCGATGAACTGGCCGTTTGAGAAGGGAAGGTTGACGATATCCAAGCCGATGTGGTACTGACTCCATCGGCACCCTGCGTCGATGTTGAGTGTGCAGATGAAACAGAAGAAACAGAAGATGCAGGCGAGGATATCATCGTCGTGGTCGATGTGGGATGGGCAGATGTTGTTGATATGGCATCTCCCGATCTACTGGTGCTGATATCAGCAGTTGAAGTCGCTGTATGCAAGGTGGTAGCGACGGGCTGGGTTGTGGTTGTGGTTGTGAGCTGAGGACTGGGTTGTGTTGCAGGCACAGGAGCAGGAGCAGAATTGGGTGTGCTTCCAGAGTTCGACGGGGAAACGCTGCCCGCAGGGAGGACAGTCAAGCTGCTTCCCCATTCTCCAGCCGTGTAGAGAGCTAATTCACTGGCGAACACGAAGCTCGACGTATCCTGCGGCAACGGCCAGCCGTTCGGCACACTAGTGGAGACAGACCACGCCTGGTCCGACACAAGAATCTCTGGGGATCCTTCCGTGTATTCGAGCTTGATTGCCGCAAGGAGCCCCGGGGGCGGGCTGCCCGCGTCGTTATCATTCACCGCCAGGATGGAGAATGTGTTCCACGATGCGGCGAGCGGGGCGAAGAAGGTTTGCACGGACTTCCAGCCATCCGCTCCCCTATCGACGTGGGCGGTCTGATTCCCGTTGACCCAAAGAGTGTAACTGTTCACAACTGTGAGGTGTATGGTCGCTGAGGATGCGGTTCGGCCAGTGGGGGTGGCGTAGCCACGCAGAACGGCGATAGTGCCTGTCGCAGAAGGATTCGTCCATATCCAGTGTGCGGAATCCAGACCAGCGTCAGAAGCAGAGTCTCGTTCGACTACGGTTTCAGAGGCTCGAAAGGCAGGCCGGGCGTAGGAGAGTCGCGATGGAGCGTAACAGAGAAGGAATACAACAAGGAAAAGACAGTATCGCGGAATGAACGCTGCGGCGGATCGGATCCTTTTCCTCTCGAATTTCCTTCTAACGCACCTAGGGTGGCCAACATCGAAGTTCGAACGTAGGGCAAAGAGAGCGAGGATGGGATCGACACAGATCGTCCTCTATAAAAAACGACTTGTCCCATCGAGGATACGCATGACTTGCGTGTGTAGATCGGGAGGATCTTTCGTGCAGGAGGCAGGTCATATTGCAGCAAGGCTGAGGCGCTGTTCTAACGCTGTTGCGGTAGGTAACAAGTCTGGAGGGATCATAGTTGATCATGTGATGATCGACATTCATATGAACGATCACCCTTCGTAATTGTATCGATGAGATCATTCTGTGACCTGTCTCACTGTTTACGACTCGCATGGCAAATCCATGAACAAGATATCTATCCACCGTCGCGTCCATGAACTCGTGAAAACAGCGCCGAGTACAGCGAATCAGCTTCCGCTGGGAATGAGCACCGCGGTCCAGGTCGTGCGAGGAGATGTCGCGGTGCAGTTCCCAGAGACGCGGATCTAAATCGTCACCATATCAGCAACGAGTGATGTGAAGAACCCAGTATCGTCCCGTGAGGCAGAGAATCCACTAGGGAACGAGCGACGACGAAGCACGGTTGCCGTCTGCGGGTTGGCATCCAATCCAAGTCTGAGTGGAAAGGCTGATGCATGAGCATAACGGTTGGGAGTGTTGGGAGGACCAAACTGAGCAGTGGCAATGAGGAGCACAACGAACCGTCCGTGTCGAGAGGCGGGCTGTGGCCGGTAAAGGGGCATATATCTTCGCATCCCTTCCAGACGAAAACGGAGCTCATGGTTCACGATCGCCAGGCTCGTGCTACTGCATCATTGGGCCTTGAGAGCAGTGATTGAGCCGTCCAGGAAAGCAGAGGAGTCCGTGTATAAGGGAGCAATGTTTGAGTGGACGCGATCAAAAAGACTGCTGAGGGTACCGAAGGGCGGTATTCACTCGTTTTATATTCCATTCCAATCATGAAAGCCGCACTTTGACTGAAAAGATTCGAGGCAAGAGGCTGTCCCTGCTCTGAGCACTGCGTCGCAGAGACTTGTGGAGAATTTGAGCTGATAACAAGGGTCGGAATCTTGATACTCAAACGCGGACTCCCGAAGCGAGCTGGAGGACGATGCGCGTGAGAGTCACGGGTGATGAAACGCGACCATGCGCGACGTGAGACTGAGGAGGCTGTTGGTCTGTCCGTTATCATTCCAGGCCGGGGTCAAACACGGGAGACCCGGTCGAAATCGAAAGCGAGGCCACACTGACAGATGAGTATGCGCCGAACATATCCAGGTCCAGGTCAAGGCTTCCACGCATCGTATACGCGCTACTATCCAGTTGCAAATCAGGATGAATCAGATGGGCCTCGACACAGACATACTGTATGTGAGCTTCTGCCTCAAAAAATGATTGATTTCGCTGATTTGTAAATGACGAAGAGAGATGATCGGCGCCGACGGGGAATGTGATTAGAACAAGACGTCTGCGAACAAGAGTTGGAAATCATAGCCGAAGAGAGAAACTAGGCAGCTCTAGCAGAGACAAAGTTCCCGACCCGGACGTTTTGTCCAAGTCCAGAAGAGTGGGCTCGCAGAAGCGACTCTACGAAATACGTGGCCAGCTTTCCGACGGACAGATAACACATCAAGTGAGACGAGATTCGGGGACCGTCGGTGAAATCCATATATTCCGTGCCCTCGCGACGCGCGTTACATCGTGAGAGCATTGCTGCCGTTGAACCTTGAACTTGGAGCCACGGAGGTAGAAGATACGAGATAAGGAAAACGCGTCTAGGGTCTCTTGCGACCGTTCGAAGAAGCACAGAACACGGCGCGATAGCTCTTCTAGATGCGACAATCGGTCGCTCATCTGGCTGAAGTCAAGAACCCGAAAGTCCGGTTTTGGGTCCGGGGCCAGACTCGCAGATGAGTCCAGACGCCTTCTACAGCTTGCAATGAGCAACAAGCCGGTCAAACATACGTCGCGCGGGAGCGATGTAGAATAGAACAGGGAGATCATCAGTGTAGATGTTAAGCAGTCAAAGATCTTAATCTGGGGAGTGCTTTCGACCGGATCGATTGATCGTTGACAGAGATGGGGAACGGTTAGAACCACAGTGGTTTCCAAGTTCCCAGACCTTTCAGGACCCATTTGAATGACCAGTGACAATCTAAAGCATGAGAAGTCTGCAAGAATATCTCAGTCAACAATCTGGCAGATGGTAGATGGGCGACCTATGTAGGTCGTAGGGGGTGGCGGTGATGACCGAAACATCGATCGAACTGCAGTGCATACATATGCTATTGGACAGACCGCGACCATATGCGGGGCGTCAGAGCTCGGGTCCATATCCAAGGTCTACGGGCGGCACCGGGCAGCAGCGACGATGACAAGTTAGAAGCGAGTTCGCAGCAATCTATATAAATAATCACTCGGTTCTGACTGTCGTAGCAGCGCCCCACTGTTCCTTGAAAGCCTGCGACATATCCATCCTGCCCATCGTATTCTGCTGCTGAGACGAATCTTCCTGAAATCTACCCCACGACATCCACCATTCATCCGCTTCGTCAGTGGGCTCATAACCAAATCTGCGCAATGGATCAGACTAGAATGAGCAAAGAGTAGATAGGACCACCGACATTACTCTCAAGTCATCGACGATCTCCTGCATGTTCTCATCGGGCGAGCTCATGGCGTTTCTTCCGGCAGCTTTGTTAGCAAGGAACTTGTCATCTCTTTCCTGCTGCTGGTCGCCATCGGGAAGCGTGAAATATTGTAGCTGCATCTGCTCCGCCTGCAAGATATGCTCGCAGCGCGGTTTCCTATGCGTTGATCAGCATCCCCATCTGGCGTGGCAACGGCTCCACTGTCGCACCGGTTCTCTTCAAACGCATATAAGAACTCTGGGATGCGCTCTGGATTCCGAGTGTGGGAGAATATTTTCCCCATGAAAGCACCGTCCTCGATGGCGATGGAAATGGTGTGCAATGAGAATGGCTGCGTATTGGTAAACACAGAAGGAAATTGTGCATGTATAACCGTCAGGACTGACTGGAAACGGGTGCGCAGCTTCCCCAATAGCGATGATTCTTCCACTTTGAGACACCCAAGAGTCCAAAACGTGATGTTGCTTCATCGGGAACCGGAGAGGAGTGGCCGCTTTTTCGTAAATTCGTTTTATTCTGTAATTCTTGAGCCTGTCGTGAAAAAGACGATAACAGTCGATAGACTTACACAGGGTCGGCAGGCTCAACGGCCTCAATCTCGGGTTTCACGCCGGGACGGGTCCATGACCCTTCTTGTTGACCGTCGGTGGTATACAACCATAAATATGCGTCTCTTTCTTGACCGTTAAGGAAAACTTTGGCAGCTGATCCTTGGTCAGCGAGATAAGATAAAGATGGAGATCATCTCTACCTCGTTGATTGCCGAAATATACGGAGACCATGTTACTCTGTTTTACTGAGTGGAATTCGTCAAGGCTTAAAGGAGGACTGAGCTCACCCTGGGGGAATCGTACAATTCCTTTAATTCTTCATCTTGTTCAGCTATTGCTCTCGGAACAAACATGCTGATGGTATATCAGCAACCGGTGAATTCACTCACTCGAGGTTACTCACCTATATGCGCAGAGGTCTGTGTCAGCGTCAACACACTCAGCACCCGAATCCTCAATTTCCTCCTCCAGGATATACTTCCGAACGAACCCTGTCGATCCGTCCGCCCCGATCACAGCATGGCCGGCGAAGACCGCGCCAGAAGCTAATATGACATTGCATCCTGTGTCGTCCGACTCGATACTTGTGACCTCTGCGTCAAATTCTATCGTGACCGTGCCTTCAGACGGGGCTGGGGGCTTGATGGCGAGGTCGTGCAATAGGCGAAGAAGCACACGGTGCTGAAGGAGAGGGGAGATCAGCTAGGTAGTTGGCTCGTTACGAGCCACACGACGAACCTTCATTTGTAAAAATTCCCCGCGTGCGCTCTCCATGAGCTCCGGGTCCCATAGATTGACACCTGAAACCCGGTGAGCATATCTGAACGCGGGGAGACAAAGGTTTCAAGCTAACCCATAGCATCTCGCTCTCCCTTTCCTTTGGAGGAAGGATCGTCTGTCGCTGGTCAGACATAGAATTATCGTTCGCAAGCGATGATGACGGACAGGAGTACATCATGAATCCATGCCCTGCGACTGCGTTTTCCATGACGTCTTTCTCAAGTCCCCAGTCGAATAGCACCTTGCAGCCATTGGGAGGGACGCTGTCAGTCGTTAATTGGGGGCAAGCGATGTCGTTCCTGGCATAATCCATTCACCCTGCAGCACCACTGGGAATCTGTCAGACGCGTGTCAGTGACATCGAATAGTCGCGAATGAGCTGCATACCGATTCTGCACCGGAGAGACACGGTTCTCGTTCTAGGACGGTAACGCTGTGTCCAGACTTCTTGAGGCCGATGGCGCAGGTTAGACCTGAGAACAAAGCGAGATGGTAAGCGGGAAGGCGCGCTGCTGGAGATGCACAACGAACCGGCTACGGATGCACCGACGACGATCTTCCACGCGTCAGTGAGGTCGATCAGCGACGCTAGCAGATTCGGCTCACAAAGTTCAATCCAGGGAGAGTTCGTGCAGGCATAGAATGAAGCGGGTTGTAGTCAAGGAAAGAGAACAAGAGGAAGGAGAAGGAGCGGTGACAATGATGCTAAGGTAGCCGTTATGCCATGCAGTGTCCGATGTCGAATCAAGTGAATGTCAAAAAGCCGGCGGCTTCAGGGCAACACATGCAAGCATCGGTGCACCGAAACAGGATGTAGCCCCGTCAGTCCCCATGGCGAAGTTCGCCGCTGGCTTGTGTTCATGCCCTGATATCCGACTGATATCATTCCATCTTTCAAAAAAGATGGCCGGCCAGGTGGGAATCGCAATCTCGCCCGTCATGCTCGCAAAATGTTCAAACCGCTAACATTCGCCCTCCGTCCCCGCTGTCAATGGACCGCAGCCAGCAATCGGACCCGCGGAGTCGAGGAAACTTGAATTGAAAGAGACAGATACATAGATGAACACCCGCTTGTAATCATCGCAGACTGCACATGGGACTGGATCCCCTGATGTCGGCCTGATGAAACTTGCAGCGAGAATCCCATGCGTTGGCCCGTCCGACCTTCGATTGACCATCATCATGGGGACCAAGGAACCATATAAAGCGAGAAGTCCGGTGAGTGATGTTGAACGTTACATTCAAGATAGATCTTACGTAATTACCCTTCAGCAGCCGATCCAATCGCTTTCTCATTGCCTTTTTGCGCCCTGTGATGCGCAGAAATAGAGCGCTGATGGACAATCAAACTTGCCTTGATTGCCTAATTGAGCAAGTTGATGAAACGATTATCTATTAGAGTTGTCCATTTCACCCACGCATTCTCAATTTAGGTGAGGTGTCGAATCACTGCGGAATGAGTCTGAAATTGAGCAGCTATTGTATCGGAGGTCCTCGAATAGTTTCGACCTCTCATCAGACAACAAAGACTGGGTGTTATGCAACTCAGAACCAAATACAGATCAGTAAAGAACTCCACAAAATCAGAGCCGCCTAATATATTAATATCCGCGCTACCATGTGCCGTGCGGCGGCACACGGCCCGATGCGGCTCAATCACCACTAGCGACTTGACACGTGTGCTTGAGAAGCCGAATATAAGAACCCGGCTTTAACAGAGGTGACAAACGTCTGCCGTAGTCGGCTAGCGAGGTCCTGCAATGTGCATGCTTCGACTGGGGTCACTGGGCCGCAAGTCGGTGGAAGTGAAGGAAATGAAGGTGCAGACATCGACAAGATACAGAACAACCAATGCGGAGATCCATGGAAACGAGCGAGCCAGGTAAGTCACGTACAAACAGCACGTTTATGTATTGGCAGGCACAATTTACAGAATCGCCATCCTCGCAACTGGTAAAAATACAAAACATAACATTACATGCGCAGGCAACGACAGAAACTGGGGTTCACATACTTGCCCCTGTCGGAGGACTTTCGCCCAGCGTGACACCGCACTGCTGGATAAACGAAGACCACCCGTCGTCCATTCCAGATTCACTAGTCAGTCCCAGCTCTACCATTGCACCGCCTTGACCCGAGCTGTGCCCATAACCATAGTACCCGGGATTTGAGAATAAATTGGGATCCAGCAAAGCAGGATTCGCTTCGGTCTCCATGGGAATATTCGGCTGCATCACGCTGGAGCTCGAGCTGGGATACAACATATTGTATATGTCCTGTGAGAAGATGTGAGCATGAACCAAAGACTGATGTCCCCGATGACATACCTCTGGGATACCGGCGAAGGACATGTTCAGATCTTGGCTCGATGACGTCGCTGGATTGACGGCGATCAATTCGTCCAACCACGAGAATTCGTCACCAGTGCTGCTGACACTCAGCGACATTGCTGTCGGGCTAGGTTGCGACGCAGGACTACGGGGGGTCTGGCTTTTGCGCTTGTGCTTGGGTTTCAGGGCTAGAACACGTTTCTGACCACCAAAGATCGCCAGCTCGTCTGTTCCGAGCGATGGAACTCCAGTAGGAGATGGCACTTGGGAGTGCTGGGTGTAGGCCAGTACGGCACGATCTTTCAGCTTGATCAAAACTCCCTGTCGGATGCGATTGAGCGAATGACATGGTACGTAATCAGCGGCAGACTCACAGATGCCAGTTTTGCCCTGTGTGACCGATTGGCCGACCTTTGGAACAATTCCACCGCCAGCCCTAGATCCAGCAGCGCACTGGATGCCACATTCGACTGAGGAGCCAGGGTAACGATTGTCCCAGCGATGACGGCGGCGGAGAACGTGTGATGCAATAGAAACCATGCCCTCATAGCCATTTCGTGACTGCGGTCAAAGTAGTATGCAGTGGCCTTGATCACAACACTCGCTGATCGGTAAGCTGTCAGGAAAGACGTCGCATACGGACTTCGAAGTGGGTTCGATGGAAAATCGAGGATCGCCTGTGCGAAGAAACTTCTATGGAGATATATCATAGCTACGCAAATGCTGAGTTGTTGAAAAATGCACAAATGCTAGAAAACGCACTAACGGTTCGGTATTGGCTTCCGTAAAAGCCCCGTAAGCTAGCTTCAGTGGAGTGATACAACTCTTCCCCATCAGCTCGAGTGGCGTATCTAAGGTCCGAGTCAGGACAACATGCTGGGAAAGTCTGGCAACACAACTTGCGGTTTGAAAGAGTCCGGCACACTGAGTTCCCTAACTCGTCGATCGAGCTCGAGGACGCGCGAATAACCTGGCACCTTCGCAGACAGTGTTGCCTCTGCTACACCAACCCATATATCCCGATTGAAGATGTATTTCGACTGCCAGACTGTCATCATCAGATTAGCGAGTAAGCCAGAACCTGATCGACGAGTAGCCTACATCCGGGTTGGATCTCGCCAAGATCAGTTAGTGAAGACTCTTCGTCTTCTGGATATTCACAATCAACGTAGGCGAGAGGAATCGATGGTGGCCGGCCCATTGCGAGACTCTGATAGACATCAGCGCGAGATCCCCTAAGACGTGAGAATGCCTTGCATGAGACACATCAGCTGCAAATACATCCCAGAACAGTCTACGTCGCTGCTGAACGGTGCCAGGGTCCATATTCCACCGAGCACAATCACGATCTAAGTTGCATTCAGATAGCATCCGCAATACAGCTCCAAGTCACTCACGAAGCCCAATCTGATGAATAATGTGAGAAAGAGCGCGTTTCGTACAGCTGAGAAAGACGCACACTCTGAGCCACCTTGGAGGCGATGCTCATCAAACACCAAGCACTGTCTCGAGAGTACTTCTTCCCAGCCAAACTATGGTAGGTTGCCATCATGCCCACTGCACGCACAGTGTCCACTCGCGGCGCATCGTAGATAGCTCGCAGACCTAATGCGGCCTTTCCCCCATGGTAAAAACGCTCAGCTTCCGCACTGAATGGCGGGAGCTTCATATCCAGCAAAGAGGCGACGGCGAATATAAAGAAGAGAGTAGCAAGGCTGTGTGGGTCGTCGAGAGTGTTCGCATATATAGATTGCATAAACGTCCCAAGAAGTTCGTCCCGCTTTATTGGTCGGAAAAAGAGAGCCCCATGCGCCAGATATCCTTCGCACATTTCGATCGCTTGCTTTAACGGAGGAAGAAGGGTGCGTAGACGCGCATGCTTTTCTGGATTGGGTTGGCCGCAAGGAAATTCGGCGGAGTCGAGGTCGACGATGTCAGCAGATAGAGACCGAGGCAGTTCCGAATCCGTTTGTTCCTCCTCGCTATCAGAATCATAGTCTTCTGCCTGCAGAGGTTATGGATGTGAGTTCGTGTAAAACGATGACATCGGCACGAACACAGAGCAAGGTCTCCGTCCCAGCCGACCTTCCGAAATACATGACCTCGCCTGAATCCCCAAACGTCAAGGTTCCCAGTGCATCGATACCCTGCTCCTCACTCTCCTTGTCAACCGGTTGTGAGACTGCTGGCGCCTCGGCCGCGAATTTAATTTTTAGCAGGTCGGTGGCAAGCAATGGATGTCGGTCGCTGGATATTGAGGCTTGCAGGATGGCGAGAGCTTCTTCGAGTTGTCGGATTCTTTGGCTCATTTCGGCGATCTTCGAATGAAGCTGATCTGTGTCTGCAAGGATGAAGCTAAAGTCCTCAATGAGCGAATTACGTGCAGGAATGGCTGAGCACGAAGCGTACCGGGTACCCTGGCCACCGGATAATATGCCTGGTGGGCTCAGTCAGCATTCTGGCGCGAGTCGCTTGTCTCACCGCAGGGACAGATACTCTGACATCCTCTCCGCACACAAGACCCACACGGCACGCTTTTATCACATTTGAGCTTAAGTCGTCTGCACTCTGCGCACGAAAGTTCACCTATCCTCCGGCAGGTCAAAACTCGCCGAAAAACCCCGGCCAATTTACACACCCCGCAGTCGTTTAATTTCAATATCCTTCTGTTCTTCCTCCGTCAGTGCGCGCGGCTGCCGGCGTGAGGTAGTTTTTCCTGTTGTATCAACGGGCATGAATGCGCAGCTGGGAAAGAACGAGGATCTTCTACATAAGCAATGATCAATTCGACCGGACTGTCATGACTGATTACCTGGGGCCCCTTATGCAGCGGATCTCGGGGGTATGTACCGATGAATGACACCCGTGGAGTAATCAATTTTGGAGAAATGAGATTGGTCGTCTTTTTGAGACATTTCGGAGTGATGTTGTCACAAAGATTCATGAAAACGGGCTAGATTTGATGAAATCAAACTCTTATGTAGGCCTGCGTTGTAGGAGCAGCTCGAGAGCGTCGAGTGGTTCTGACCAAATGCAAGCTGCCGACAGACCGGCCCAGAACCTCTGGACGTCAAGGCAGATACTGATAGATCCTTTACAAGAGTAGACATTACAGAACCATTATTTCGTCTTGGCACGCCGTGAGGGTGGAAGCTCTTGATAGTCCTCCGCCAGACGCTTACGCCGTGCACTAGTCGTCTTTGACATGACTTCTACCTCAGACGCATCGGAATCTTCATAATCGTCTGCATCTCCCTCATCTCTGCCATCACTATCTTTCGATATTCGCTTTTTCTTCTGTGCTGGAGCCTTGGCCTTCGGCTTCGGTGTCCGCGGTCGGGCTGCTGCTGCGGCAGCTTTCTTGGGTGTCTTGGCCTTAGCTTTCGCTTTACCAGAAAGATCCAGTTCAGACCATCCGCCGTTTTCTGCGAGTAAAGAGATCGCTGCCCACGCTCCTGGTGTGACTCGTTGGACGCTGAGTCGACCTCGGGCGACAAGTTCCATGGCTGTTCCATAGCAAACCCTTTAGCTCGGATCAACTCGACAGACATCTGTCGCAAAAACCTTTTATTGCAGCCACACCATCTTCACCGATGTACTCGAGCCCAGGCGGAATGTTAGACGTCGAAGCTTGGTCCGCGATGAAACGAAGTAGAGCGAGCGGAACGAAGTTCTTCGTTCGAGATGAGAAGGTCAGGTCGACCATGAACCACTTCGGGTCCTCTTGTTTTGATTTCTGCAAGACGATCACGAAAAATGTATGTGAACAGATTCGGAGAACAAACCGCGTCATAGTAAGGATGCGATCTGTCAGGAAGTCTCTCAATGTCTGCTGCTCAGGAGCAATGGAGGACATACGAATCCCATGCAGTGTCTAGATGTCATATTAAGTGTCGGAAACCGGTGCTCAAGAAAACCAGCAGCACTGACGGTCGGGGTAAGCTTCTTTGGAGACCTTTGTGCACGATTAGTCCCAGTCCGAGAGAGCAATTGAACCACAGGCGTATTTCTGACCTCAGCGAACGCAGCGATGCCTGACCAGCCCCTCATAAGACATCGACCTCTGGAGATGTTTTGATACAACTCACCTGGATCCTTGCAATTCGAATGATAGAAGAGGGCCTGGAGATACGATCAGTCTCGTATGCGCGAGCAAGAGTCCCGTCGGAAACCTTCTCCCCGATCTTCATGTCCTTCATGATATTCCTCGCCTCGTAGTTACGTACGCCTTCCCATGGGGATGTCTTTACTTGTTCGAAGTCGTCCACGCTGAACTATAGTATCGAGCCAAATGAGAAAGAAGAGTGTGCCTGCTGAAAGTGAACAATACCTTTACATCTTTTCCCTTGACGATCCTCGTGTCGGGTTCAGCCTTCAAAAGCCAATACTTTTCGGCAGCTGAATCCATGGAATGACAGGCCACTCTGAGATTTTGGTAGTGCGTGCCAACGAGTAACGCGCGTGGAAAGCACGATAGCATCTGTCATCCTCATTTGTCACCTAATTTCGACTTCGCGTACACCAGTGCTTACGATGGAAGACAACTCAGTCGCGTCTGGCCTTAATGGGAGTGGTGGGCACATCAAATCCCTTTCAGAATGAAGGCACGATCTCAGATGCATAGAGGGATCGAATCTATACGGATTCATTGACAAGGACAAGTGCGCGATGACGTCCAAGAGCGTCTTTCGGTCGTTTTCAATCAACCTCCAGGGTGCATGGGTTGAATCTCGCAGTGCCTGAAGATGCGAAGGCTATTATCAAGGTGTTTGTCCGATTTTGTGCTTTCTGCGACGCACATAGGACTCATGCGCTCATAGCCCTGGGACGAGCGGGAATCTAATGATAAGTTTGCGGATAGTGGGGTCGACGACCAGGTATGCCCGGCCGTTCCTCTATACATACACCATCGTGATCGGAGCCAGATGATTCTTCACATTCCGTTCAGCCAACTTGTTCGACTTAAATCCATCTTATTGAAGCTGGGTGTGCCTGCCTCCGTGTAATAGCTGTTCTTGAGGTTAACACTGTTCTCAGGACGCGGCGAGACGACCCCCAGGAATCTGCGAATATACGCGAATTATCCGAACATCATCGACTTCGCTGACGCAGAGAATACGAGACCGCATCTGGATATGAATCTACTGGAAGGGGAGACAGCTGTAGTGGAGTACCCGCTACGTGTTGCTGCTTTCGCCAACGTGTCTACTTTGACTCTGTTCTTTGTGGGTGGTGCACCTTCTCTCAGAGGCTTTGGCGTTGACTCGGGCAGGGGGACTCTGTAGGGGGCGACGTGTCCAGAATCTACTATCTCGGATTCAAGGGGGACAGCCGATCGACTCAGCGAGAGTTGACGTCCAAACTTGAGATACCTGCGGCGAATGCAGCGGATGCACCGTTGGTCGACAAAGTGTCGGAAAGAACAGCAGCAACGCAGACCACCGCACGATAGCGTTATCGAGATGCTTCCAATCTAGTTAGCGTCTTGTCCAGTCTCCAGTTTTTCCCTGGAATGTATCGGATCTTCTTCATCATACGCGATTCCAGTTTGAAAGCCTCCTCGGTCAAACCCTTGTCCAGGTAAGCGTCCATGATTAAGCCATAGGAAGCAGGTCGGGGTCCAAGGGCTTCCAAACCATCCAGCATCCGGTTGGCAGCTTGAATGTCGCCGCATCGAGCATGCACCCCCGCCAGTTCATCCGCGATGCCCACATTCGATGGATGGAGTTGCTTGATGACGAGGACATCGCCGGCAGCAGCGATAGCATCCTCGACCCGACCCAATCTCCCATACGCCGCAACAAGGCTCCGGAACACAGCCACGTAAGAGGTCGGATAAGCACAAAACTGTTGTCGGCTCAATTGCGATGAGTAGTGCGCAGCTGAATAGTGCAATGTGCGCAAGATGTTGAGAGGAGACTCTAAGCGCGCCGAAAGGCGGATCAGTGCGTGCCAAATGATCCAAGCATCGGCAGGCGTGATCGCTAGTCGACTGGGCACTTTGGCAAGCGGTGGATTACGGGACAAAGAAGATGCATGTTGAAGAAGCGGGTGCCAGGCTGCTGCGGGTAGAAAGGTGGAGTCAAAGTTGTCGTTGAATAGAGTCACCGTGTCAGCAAACCTGCGTGACTCGCGCAAGAAGAACATCTCTTTACACAGCCAGACGTAGCTGGCGCCATCGGAGAGTGAAACCGCACGATTTCGGAGAATTGTCAGCCCGCGTGGATGGCCCTGGGAGGCCCGGTAGTTAACCATGAACGAGTGCAGACTGTTTCCGGGGCTTTCGTCCATGGCAAGCGACCGATTCGACAAGGCGGCTTTGACCTCTCGCAGTTCTGTCGCCATCCATTCCCGAGGCATCGGCGCCGTCACACCCTTGACGATGGCCCCCGTGGAGAGCGGTTTGGGGGCACGGTGCCGACGAAGATGTCGCTGAATCACAGCCATCTCTTCCGAGAGCTCCTCTTGGCCCTGCAACAGTCCAACCAGCCGCTCACAAGAGCGAGTCAGTCGCATCCCCGGACTGTCCCGCACCACGCCAGCAGCTTCTGCCAACCAGCCCGCATCGCAGCACAACTGCACTAACAGATGCCTCTGTTTCCTCGATATCTCTGCAGCCCTCGAGGGTTGGTACCGGGTATAATAGGCCACCAACGCTTTCTCGTACTCAAGGAAGAACGAGACGGCTTTGTCAGGGTGCTGGTATCCCGTCATCAAGCGCACCAAATCATCCCATACCAACGCCCCATATCCCTTTTCGGCACAGACCAGAGAGAAGAGCGTGATGAGGTGCAGATTACGCGCGGGGGCGCCTGTGTGTAAAAGCAGATTCCGCGTGCGCGTGAGTGGCACATCGCGGACGCACTCGGGCTGCAGGTTGTCCGGGACAAGACGAATCCACGCGAGGAATTCGCGCACGCTCTGTTTCCCGTGGAACCGGATTTGTTCGAGCGCGGCGCCTTCGTAGAGCGCGTTCGGGATGATTGCAAGGGACTGCTTGGCAAGTCGTTTTCGGATGCGTTCTGCCCTGTTGAGCTGGTTGTTTTCAATACAAAGCGCTAAGAGTTCGTTGGGAGGCAACACAGTTTTCTCGATGACTTAGGACATCCAAGTATGAGAGGCAAGAAAGTTTCAGGCAACGAGTGCTCACCTGTGCTCAAGAGTCGAGTCGGCGTGAGTGTTCGCCATCTAATTAGTGCAGGTCTCATAGAGGGAGCATTTTCTGGGTTTAGAGTCCTTGAATCAAAATATAGCTCTGGCGGAACGCTCAGTCGATTGATCGGGTGACGGTCGCGACCTGGTCACGTCACACTGCTTTACTCATTCGCCTCGACGCCCACTTCAGTGTTCACTCTTTGTTTCTATTCAAACGCGATGGCTCCGGAGGCAATGGATTTGGCATCTGCACAGTCGGTAATCTCCGCTTCTGTCTGTGTCGCGGGGCTTGAATCATCTCTCAGAGTACAACCTGACGCGAAGACGCGGCGCTACGATCGGCAACTGAGGTCCGCTCGGATCCCCCCGTTTTGTTCTCTTTGACATAGAGATCAGATTGTGGGCTGCTTCCGGCCAAACTGCGCTAGAAAGCTCGCGTCTGCTAGTCATATCCGGGTCCGCGACCTCGACGTCCATCCTCAAGAACTTGGTTCTCCCCGGTATCGGACACTTCACCATCCTCGATCCGCGGACCGTCTCCCCGCGCGATGCTGGAAACAACTTCTTTCTTGAGGGCAGCGAGAGTATCGGAAAGTCCCGCGCCGAGGAAGCTGTGCGGCTACTCTCCGAGCTCAATGACGGTGTCGAAGGGAGAGCGGACCAGTCACGTTTGGAGGACATCCTCGATACGAACCCCGGGTACTTTGCGCCGTATACTGTTGTGATCGCGCACAATCTGGAGCCCAGGCTGCTGAAACGCCTCTCAGCTCTGCTCTGGGAGGACGACACTCTGCCGATCTTGGTGGCCGTTAACTCGGCTGGTTTTCTGGCTGAGTTCACAATCCAGTTCCACGAGCATGCAGGTATGCTCCGCCTTTTGTTATTCGTAACTTGGTATATTCAGCTAGTACCCACACAGTCATCGACAGCCACTCGGAAACAACACCGTCATTACGAATCGACAAAGCATTTCCTACGCTACAAGAATACGCGACTTCCCTGGAATTGCAGAACCTGGATCCCACCGAACACTCTCACATTCCTTACGTTGTCCTCCTCGTCCGTGCTTTGGCAGATTGGAAGGCCGGGCACGATGGCAAGGCACCGCAGACGTACGACGAGAAGAAACTGTTCAAGGAGGCACTGCAGGACATGAAGACCAAGTTTGACGAGGAGAACTTTGACGAAGCAGAGGCCCAAGCCTACCGATGCTGGACGGAAACTCGGGTGCCGTCGGAGATCTCCGCACTATTCCAGGATCCGAAATTGAGCGCACTTGGTCCCAGCTCACCTCCTTTCTTCCATCTCCTCGATGCCTTGCGGCAATTCACGCAGCAACCTCCACATACGTTGCCTTTGAGCAGTACACTCCCTGACATGAAAGCCAACACGACCAACTATATCCACTTGCAAAAGCTGTACAAACAGCGGGCTGAAGAGGAGAAGGCGGTGTTCAAAAGTTTCCTCACTGTGCCCCTGGAAGATGATCTCATTGATTCTTTCGTGAAGAACTCGCACGGGCTCAAGTTGCTGCGTGGAAGGAAGTACGGAAGCTTGGATTCTGACCCTGCCGCTCTGGGTGAGTGAAGGATATCGCATCCGATCTGTCGTCACTGAATTTCTTCCACTGTGTAGCTGCGGCCATCGAGTCCTCGCCAAAGGCCGCTGCGACACACCTGGCTCTTTCTGCTCTCGCCATTGTCGGAACATCGCAGCCATCAGAGGCCGCATTGACTGCCGCGGCCCAGGCCTTGTTACCACCTGGAACCGAGCTGCCGGAAGAATTTGCTCTGTCCGTTGGTGAAATGTGTGTCGTCAACCGTGGATTTTCTTTATTTTGCGGCTGAAGTCGCACGCAGCGCCCGTTCTCCGGACGCCGACTTGCCAAACACGGCCGCATTCCTCGGTGGACTAGTCGCACAGGAGGTGATTAAGATGATCACCAAACAGTATGTGCCGATTGACGGGTACTGTGTCGTCGATCTCATCGAGACCTGGACGGGGATCATCTAGTCTCGTGTTGGTGTTATATAAGTAAGGGTAATGTAGTAGACTTGAAAGTGTGTACAGTCGCTGCAGCAGTATCTTTGCCCGACTCGATGTTCGACGGCGTCAAGCGATCCGATCCTTGACGGAATTGGCGTCTCTCTCTTCCTCGCCACGTTCCGAGGGTGACATCGACTTGATGGAGTGCATGGAATAGTCCAAGTGATCGGCCACCCGGATCTGGGTCCTGGTGACCGTGATACCAGTATTGATTTTATGGGGCTTCGTCTGGCCAGAGCCAGAGTCAGCCATCCGGCCCAGCAAATTGGAGTCGAGTTCGCTCCGGATCCGCTGAGTGCATGTGAGAGAAGATCCTCATGGGGAAAGCTATGTTTCCGCACAGTTTGGGACAAGAGGGTGACCATGATAGAATGGTTGTATGTCTTGCCGACGACGAGCTGGAACGCAAGATGGATGCTGTTTCGCTTTCCCATGATTACGTAAAGCAGCAGATCAACGAGGGCGACGAGCGAAGTGATCAAGGCTGTCTCGAATGTCACCCGCACCACGCGGGACAACGTCTTTTCCTGGGAAAGGGGAGGGATCGGAGATCTTGCGCATCGCGAGATGGAGAACGAAGTCTTGCCGTCCTGTCCCAGGATAAGCTGAAAGGAAGGAAAAGACATGGGTATGCTCACTTCTTGAAACCAGTCTTCATCTTGCGCAGATGGGTGATCAAAACGATGGAAATGCCTAGATCGGGGACTGCTCATGAGATAGTTGAGAAACGGTAAGGAGTGAGAAAGGACATCGCACTGGCAGTGGCTATCAGCCATGTCGTGACCTGGACGATGACAATTGAAGTCTCCCTGAGCGATCGCTCAGCGGCCGAGCACTGAGCTCCGTGGGACGAGCGCCACTCACGTGTAATATGGACGAGCAACGAGACCCGCAGTCGAGGCGATGCCCGCAGCGAGTGAAACCATGATTCCCAGTCCGCCCACGACCAATACCGATAGACTTGCTCACGATCCAGCATCGATGCAGGAAGAATCCTTGAGCCAGCGCAGCGATGAGGGCAGTCCAAGCCGGCTCGTAACTAGCCGGACAACTATCAGCATTTGCAAATCGACGGAGAACCGAGCGCCGCACACGTGAATGTCCACCCATATCTGTTCCAATGGAGGATATCCCCGTAGCTCGATACGAAAGCGTTGTACATCAGTTGGCTGCAGACCGAGATCAGAGGCTGAATCGTTCAGGACGTGAGAAACTGGGTAGTCACGCACCAATCGGTCGCAGATTGGAACAGGCTCATGAAGAAACGGAGGATGGACACGAAGATCTTCATGTTGCGCGTGTCGTCGCCATGGTCCTCGAAGTACTTCCACATCTGAAGCGTAAGACAGCCCATCATGAAAGTCTGTGCGGCCAGCCTGCGAATTTTCCACTCTCAGAGATGGTGTGCGTGGCGGCCAGTACGGTATCATTGAGACTGACCCGCACAGGTAGGGGCCCAGATTGAGATTATAGAAATGCTGGTTGTCGGCCGTCTCGAGCACGGCCGTTGCATTTTATTGCCAAGACATTCCAAAGACCGTGTACTGATGGTACTAGCGAGCGAGGGGGAAAGATGGGCGCAAAGAAGGAATGGAATGGAAAGCAAACTGCCGTGAGCACGCTTCGGAACGCGACTGTCTCCTCAGGCCACACTCGCTTATAGGGAGGCGCCATAGTAAAACGATCAGGGTGGACCGACAAAGAGAATCGCCCAGGAGCGCCCTAGAGCCAGTGATGTATTGAATCTCGGGCTAACATAGAGCAGCAACCCAGTGTGCTCGAACGTGCGTCGTGAGAGCAAGAAATCCGCAGGAACAGTAGTGGATGGTATCCGTTTTGCTATCATCTATCCGCAGCAGCTTGGGGGCGTTGAGTGTGGCTGCGATTCTGAAGAACCAACTCCGAGTTGCAAGACGTGATCGTTTTGCAGTGACAGCATCACGTTCCAAATCGGGGATGCCATGTTCACAAAATAAAGCCGAGGAAACTTGACCTTACAACTTTCAACGAGTCCAATCGCATGAACAAGGAAGGCATCATCGACTTGGATTGGATACCGCTCAGTTACAGGGATTTCTGTCATGTGTTCCTACATGATAGAAATAAGTGACTCGGTTGTGTTTTATCATGCGCACCCAGCCTCTTTCTTCTCACACTCAAAGGAGAAAGACGAGAATACTTTCATCTGGCATCTGAAATTTCTCTTTCAACCGAATGGCTCCACTCGCTCGATTCAAATCTCGGAAGCGCGCGTTTGAGATGACTGGAATGCTGAGCCCTTCACGAGTAAATACCTATCTCGAGAAATATCACAACCATTTACAATGAGACAAAAACCAGTATATTCATGACACTCTGGATCCTTCGACGAATCTCAGGCTTCTAACATGTTAAACCAAACGAATTTCGATGGCTTGGCGAGTTTCGCCGAAATTCTTCCGTGCGGATCACAGGGCCGATGGACCACGTCAGATCCACGTCCCTCTTTCCCCGCTCTGGAGATTGTCCGTGCTCTCTGGGCTTATGATTACGACCATATAAGAGTTTCATAACCGCTCGCGTCTTGAACTTTGTTACCAGCTTCATCATGTCATCGATCGCGCAGGCCTCTGCAATCGAGCTGCACACGATCCCCTCGCAGACGGCCGAGGGGAACCTCAAGACGATCAATCACAGTGTGGGTATGGAGGAGGTGCACAAGCAGGCGGATAGTGCTCCGGAGAGAGCGGAAAGCACTCCCCGGTCTAAAGAGCATGTACTGCGTGAGCGCATCCAGTTGTTCGCCCTGTATTGGTGGTAAGAGAATTGGATGCTCCTTCCAGATAAGCAGCTGACCCGAAACTCTGCAGTATGGTAGCCGCTGGGTGGAACGATGGTACGCTTGCGTTTCTCCGGCAACAGCTCAATGGACTTTGTCTCCAGGCTCCTCTGGGCCTTTAATTCCGCGAATTCAGCAAGTGTACCATGTCAGTATCCCAGCTGTTGAGATCCACTCTCTGACGCTGATTTACTAATCTAGGTTGGCTTCGCCGTCGTTTCCTTGATTTTCGTTTGCGCCTGTGTTGTGCGTCTGCTCTGGCCGGTGTAACTCTCCGTTGATCTCCGCATCAGGGCTTTGTGGGAGGTGCACTGGTCAATGTACCTATGACTGACCGCTTAGGGTTTGGCAAGGTGGGTTGGTCCCTTTAACTCTCCCCTTCCATTATGCTGAAGTCCAACCGCGCAGATGATCGCCCTTGGTTTGTCTGCAGAGTATTCGATGCGATGATAAAGGCTCAAGTGATGATGGGTGCCAGGCTCCGTCTTCCAGGTCGTCGCATATGCGATCCAGTCCGCTGCACCACCCTTCCCCGCGTTCCTGATCTCCTTTCCTATCAATGGAATAGGGATGGCGATCCAGGTAGAAAGCTCTACATGCCCCCATTTTTCTTTCGCTCATCCTTTGAAAGGACGCCCAAGCCAATGGCTACATCGCGAGCTTGACGAACAGCCCCGAAATCAAAATGGGTTTACTCCACGGCGCGTATGGGGCTGGCGCGCTGGCGTCTCCGCTAGTGGCGACGCAGTTCGCCCACCTTCAGCACTGGTCGTTCCACTATCTCTGCTCGCTCGGCATTGCGGTCATCAACACCATCTTGCTCGTCTGCGTCTTCCGGTTCAAGTCTCAAGACGGTGCGCTCACTGTTCCATCGCAGCACCGCCGACGTCGCTGACCATTCACCTACGAAAAGAATGTCTTGCGTCAGTGGGCGAGGCCGCAGGCGAATCGGGCACCAGCGAGCACAGCACGTTCCGGCAAATCATGACGATGAAAACAGTGCACCTGATCGCGGCCTTTATCCTTATATATGTCGGCGTGGAGGTCACCATCGGCGGGTGGATTGTCACGTACATCATCGAGGTCAGAGGGGGAGGCAGGTCTTCGGGTTACGTCTCCGCCGGGTTCTTCGGTGGTCTGATGCTTGGCCGGATTGGGCTGTTGTGGTTGAATCAAAAGGTCACCACTCTATCATCGTCTTCTCGGCTGCTTGCTTCGGCTCACGAGATGCTCAGGTGGGAGAAAGACGGGTCATCTTCATCTACTCCATTCTCGCCGTCGCGTGCGTCGTCATCTCTCCTCTGTGTGTCTAGTCTCTGATCTGACTCACATTACAAGACTTGAGCTAGTCGTATGGCTTGTGCCATCTCTGATCGGCGACGCCGTCGCAGTCTCTATTGTTGGAGTCCTCCTGGGACCCATCTATCCCCTGACTATGAACCACACCGGGCGCGTCCTCCCTGGATGGCTTCTCACCGGTTCCATCGGCTACATTGCCGGGTTGGGTCAGGCGGGTAGTGCTATCTTCCCCTTCATGACTGGAGCGATCTCCTCCCGAGCAGGCATCAAGGCCTTGCAGCCAGTGTAATTACGCTTTCTCCAGCGAAATCATGCAAACTGAAGGCTTATGCAGGTTGATTTCGATGATGGTTGTAATGATCATCCTTTGGGCCTTGATTTCTCGGCCGTCCCGAAAGATAGACTAGATCATATTAGTCTACGGAGTGCTGCTTAACCTTCCTGTCGATTTTTCTCACAATGGACATCGTTGCTATCTCGGATTCGGAAGGGAGCTGTAGAGACGTGCAAGTAGTGCAAGGCAGTGTGTATATGACGTCACGCGCCGAGAAAATCACGTGCGTTAATTCAGTCGCTGGCTTTCACTGCCTCGCTTCTACTCAAACGCTCTTCATATCACAAGCAGGTGAGTTAATAACTCATAGGGCATCCCTAAATATGTTTATCGCACCTCGCAGTCTGGACGAACCTAGTACTTTCCATCTACCATCATCGACATCAACTGGTGAAGGTGAGCCATCGATGTGATTCTTGGCAATCTGGCCAGGTTACTCAAGATCAGTCGCACGGCCTCTCTTTGACAGCGGCCGATATCTGTGCATACATTCACCTTCGACGTCACACAGCCCTCTGTAGTCGAGCATAAGAACTGCGCAGTATTCTCGAACACTCGCACTCACTAACAACAACAACATCATCCCTGCGATCCACAAGATGCCATCGAGGGTCACCTGGCTCTTCCTCCTGGTCCTGTTCTTCGTATGCCTTTCTGGGAGTAGCGTATATGCGTTCGGTGCGGGAAACATTCCCTCGTGAGCAACTTGATCGTGCACTCCTCACCCGGGCGCTCATCTATGCAGCTTTGCATACATGGAAGGACGGGCGTTCCGGCACGGTGATATTGTGCGTCTCTCTCTCGCGGGGTTTGTTCCAGTCAGCCCGCTCTAAATTCGCTGTGCAGGAGGACGCGCTTGCGGAGCTGGTCAAACGGGGCAGCGGCGGCGGGTTCGCACTGGCGAACATACTTTCCAAGGGATCGAAATTTGGTGGCTTGGATGTCAAGAGAGTGTATTTTGGGTGCGTGATTAGCTCTGCCTGTCTGTCCCAGGCTGACTCGGAAGGCCCATCTAGGAACTGGCTCCGAGATTACAGTCAAGTGTGTAATGTCGTTGTCATGATCTATCGTGCGAGCTCATCTGTTATTGTGTAGGCAGTCGACATTGCAACTTTGAAGAAAGTGCAGCTGCAGACGATCCTGAATCTGTGCATGGTCCTCGGCTTCCTGGTGCGATCTGTGCTTTCAGGATGATTGCCTCGATCTCATCGCGCTCACGTAGGCCCACGGATACGCAACCGCGGAATTCGAAGTCACCGCGGAGCGTCTTGGTGTTTATCTTCCTGTGCGTCTTACAAAACTCTCTCAGCAGTTTGATCTGACGCCTGCGCGCAGACGGAACACATTGACAATCCCAAAGGATATGGCGCTGGGGAAGACCCACGTCGGTATCACCCACAGTTGAGAGGTCCCGTTGAGGTACGTCTTACTAACTTGTGTTCCGCGCTTCATGTCACTGATCTGCATTCATTGTAGCCCATCGAATTGGAAATTGATCCTCGCACCGGAATGAAAAATTACATCGCCAATGGTGCATCTCCTCTGCGATTTTGATTAGTTTGAGAACTCAGCACCGCCAGAAAACGGACATTGGGACACATCCAAGGCCCTCGTCCGGCGTACGCTGGATCGATGCATTCATTTGGGCCGCCAGCATCGTGCTCAGGGGCGCAGTGAAGATGAGTACGAGGCGTATCGATTGTTGGGACAGTTGGTGAGTGCAGAACCCGTATAGACTTGATAGCAGCCAACAACTCACTGCCGTCATTAGCTGCATACGCTGGAAGATTTCCCAGCCCACTCCAACTTTTGCGAGCTGTCGTTGGTCGCGATGGGTCATCAAGAGGTCTTCACGCAGGTCGGCGACCAGGCGCGCATCCAAGCGCCGAACGGTCATTGGGTTGCGCCGTTGGTCACCGGAACTTTTGGTGGTAGCGATTTCACGCATTCGCTTCTGGGCGGTGAGATTCAATACACCTACTCTTGATGTGTTTCTGTCTGACGCCCCGGTCAGAGGCGACGGACCATCTCAGCCAAGCGTCCGTCTCGGACCTGAACAAGGAACTGGATAAGGCACGGTCGTCTGCGAGATCGGGCAATCAATCGTCAGTCCTGCGTGATATGTTGTTCAACATTCCCGGTGGGGCGGGTGGTGAGATGTCTCGCGAGATGGAGGGAATTGAGCGGATCCGTGCCGGACCAAGCCAGGGTGGAAAGCGGCCGGAGGATATGAGCCCCCAAGAGCTGCACGCTGTATTGTGGCAGGTGTTGAGCTTCCGGGACTCCGTGATGAAGAAGATCAGCATGACAATCGAAAAGATTCCTGGACTGAACGCGTTGGTGGAGAAGATATCGGATTCGATCGGTGGTGGGTTATGGTTTTGCCTTGGATCGCTCAAGCTGACGGTTGCAGTCTTTGTGTTCACGACTTTGGAACCTTTCCTGAACCCGATTTTGAAGACGTCTACGACTGCGCTGGCTGGAGTCTCGGGCGAGGTCATCAACAATGCGGAGCAGTTTGAGGTGTTTGATAACCCGCACTCATCCGATCCGACCCATTCCTTCCTGAGCAAGGATCATTTTGTATGCTTTTTCAAGGAAGGTGTGGAGTGCTAGTGACGATATGCTCGACAGAACCTGATTCTCAATGAACCTGCTGGGCATCTGGCGCGAATTATCCTCGTGAGTAATGTTCGAGGCTTGCGGATCGGATGACCCACCCACTCGCCCAAGATCCACACGGTGACGCTCGTGATCAAAGCATGGGACGACAATTCTGTGAACGTGCACCAGTTGCAAGAGGATGTGCTGTCTTGCATGTGCGTGTTTGCATCCTGGCTTCCATGCAGTGCTTACGTGCAACACTCCGGCACAGGTTCCACCCAGATTTCCACAACCCACACTCGCAGATCCAGCGTGAGATGATGCAGTACATGCGGACATGGGCAGACGGACTAGGACACCGGAAACAAGACATCATGCATCGCCTGACCAAGAATGCTGTGCGGAACCATGAGAATATCCGGCATGCTGGCGAAGGCGGAGCTTCTGCCGCACAGGGAACATTTGCTTCCAATCAGGCTCACCAGGTGCAGAGCGATATCATGGGATACGCACAAAACATTCCGGGCGTGGCTCAAGCACAGCATATATTCGGTGGGCAGGGCATAGGCCGGGAGATTCCGGGACAACCTCAACAACCCCAATATCACCAGCAGCAGCAATATCAGCAACCAGAGCAGCCCTATCACCCGCAGCAACATCAACACCAACAACAACATCATGGCCACTACAACGCACCTGGTGGACCACCTCCGCCCCAGAACGCCTACCCTCGTCACGACTCTTACAGTGCAACAAGCATGCCCCCGCCGCCGTCCTCAGGCTATGCACCCAGCTATGCACCGTCGTACTCGCCTCCGGCCGGTCCCCCATCATTCCCGAACTCCAGGCCGGGATTCCCAGAGTATGGCGGCGCACCCTCGTTTCCGTCGTCCGCACCGCAATTTCCCGGTGCGGCGCCGGGATTCCCAGGCGCTGACACCTATGAGTCCGGGACGCCGTCGTTCCCCAGTGCTCAGGGCGGCTACCACGCGCCGCAAGGCCCACCGCCCGGTTGGTGATGTAATAAAGTCAATAGTGTGCCCTTCCCGAACTTCCTGGTACATCGAGTATCTATCGTTAGGATATTTGTACTACAGGGAATATACACGCATGTACCGATCTGCGCTCACTCCTCGTCTTCGTCGTCCTCCTCGATCACTGTGTTGGACATCCGACCCAGCATGATTCCGTATTCGCAGGCATCGAGGTCATGCTCCAGATCATTTTCCTCCACCTCGCCATTCGACACAAACTCGCCGCGTGTAACGCCTCGGAGATAGCCGACCTCTCGTCGCAGACTCGCAATCTCGTCGTCGCGCCGTTGCACGCGACCGCTCAGCGTGCGAATATAGTCGTTCCCACAGATCAGCAGCTGCAGTTTGCTCACGCCTTTATTTGGACCCTCTGCTCCGGCTTTTGGCGGGCCTCGTGGTGGGAGTGCACCGGGTAGCACCGGTTCGTCAGCGACATCCGACGGAAGCGCGATGGGCGGCAGCAGTGTCCGCAGCTCGTCAAACGTCGTCTTCAATGAGTCCCTTCGTTTTTGTTCGGCCGCTTTGTGCGACGTTTTGCGCGGAGGCATTCCTGTCATTTGCCGTGAGACCGGACCCCCCAATGTCGATGTCCCGGGCAGCGCATTCTTGGGTGATGACGCCGTGACAGGTGACTTCTTCGACTTGCCGCCCAGATTGCTCGCGACGCCCAATCGACCGAGGTTCATGATGCTCGCTGGCGTGACCGGTGTCAGCTGTGGCCTCAACGCTGGCGACGATTGTGTGGACGTTGACGCCTGCTGTTGCACGAACGCGATCGAATCTGGCGGAGCGGGAGGCGGCATTGACAGATCGACCGGCGAGGGTGTGTCTCCTGGCATCGAGATGCTCTCCTTCCGAGTCCGGGTAGATCGTAGTAGCGGAGTGGAGCTCGCCGATTTCGACCGAGACCCTTTCTTGGGAATGGGGATGGTGGCGCGGATGGCCGGCGACTGCTTCTTGCGTGACGGCCGATCACTGCTCTTTCCGGCACCTTCGTCGTCGCTGCTTGATGTCGCTCGTCGTTTGATGCCTTGCGGCGCTTCGTGCCTGACAGGGTGTTGATGCGCCCCGAGCCACGG